AAAAAAAAAAAAAGGGAAAATAATCAAAACCAAAAGTGAGCTCTTTGGAAAACTAACTATTGGCAGACCTCAAGAAAGAATGATCAGTAATGAGAAAAAGAAATAACTGTAGCAGAGACTGAAAACTGATGAGAGTGGGAGAAATAAGTTAATACATTTAGAAACACAGAAATGTTATATACAAAATAGGGAATGTGATCGCTAAGTAACAAAAAGTTAAAATAGTAGTCAAAGCTTCTCTTCCCACCCCTACGAAACCCAGATCCAAATACTTCCATAGTGAGTTTGACCACAAATCTATGCAATAGTTCATCTCAATCTCATGCAAGTTTTTTTCAGAAAACAAAAGAACATCTGTCATTCAGCCTATTTTGAGGAGCTAGTAATAATCTCGGTTCTAAAAACAGATAAGGATAGTTCACGTGTAAGTGTACATGTGAAAATCCTAAATAAGACATTAACTAACTTCCTCTTGGTGTGTTAAAAATCACATGGTGATAAAGCATGGAGTATCCCAGGAATGTGGGAGTGATTTCACACTGGAAAAGTATCATAAGAAGAACAGGAGACCCAAGGACTGGAGGGAGGAGGTCCCACTGTCTGTATGATGGGAACCCCCAAGAGGACACACAAAATCAGAGCTAATTTTGGACGAATAAGAGAATTCAGCAACGTTGCCATATTCGAGAGGAGCTTCGAATCAAAGGCATTTCGATACACCTGTAATAAACCTCTAGGAGTATCATAAAAATATGACACCACTTTCACCAAAAACTCTACGACATCGGGAAGCAGCTGAGTGTCACTAGGCCGTGCCGCAGTGACACAGCTGAGAAGAGTGGGAGGGATGAGGCCAGGGGCCTGGGGGAGCACAGGAAGTTCACGGGTGCCTTTCCCGCAGAGTCATAGACATCACTTCTAATTTACAAAGATTCAAAAAAAAAAAAAAGGCAGGTAATACTGTTGTGTAAATTTGGGCAAAGAGACAACAAAAAGGGGAGAAGAGACACAGACTAATTTTCCTCATTGTTCATATCAGGGAACTAACAGACAATACCCAAGTAAGTAGGAAATTATGGGTATTACTATAAAAATGTACAAAGCTACCCTTAGAGTAAAATATTAACCTGCAGGAACATCAGCAGAATAAAACAAAAGTTAAAAAACCACTTCACTCGGTGCAAATTATAGTTTGAAAGAAAAATAGTCCAAAAGTATACCAGGCAAACAAAAAATGGAGTAACAGTCTTACCAAAGTGGAATTCAAGCCAAAAAGCAGTAGCCAAGAAATGCAAAAGCACTGTATATTATTAAAGGGCACAACTCATACAATGACTCGGTATTGATGTTTGTATATCAAACAACATACTAACAACTAGGAGAAGGCAGAGATCCTAGGAGTAAACATTCATGTGCTAGTAGGAGACATCCCCTCACTTCTCTGGGCCCAAGGAAAACAAGTACACAGGTACACGTCTGGCTGTAAGGACACACAACATAATCAAGAAGACAGAGAAAATGGGGTTGAGGGTTCAGAGAAGGTATTTTTGTTCTGCCCGACAGCCTGCGGGGACAGGAAGCCACCACACCAGCGCCCCCAGGGACAGGAGCCCACGGAGTCGGAGTCAGGAGCAGGTGCGAGCTCCTGGTAGGTCTTTCCCACCACCCAGGGCCTTCTCCCCATGCACAGCTTAGGTAGGACCCACGTGGAACTTTCCAAGACCCTGCTGCGCGTGGTGTGCACTGACCAACCCCGGCTTAGACTGGAGCCCCCAAAGCACGCCACCCACGGACCCTGATGAAGGCATGTGCCGGGGGCCTGGCTGCTCTCTGCCTGCACCCTGCCCTGAGGGGCCCTGGAGGCCTGTACAGAGTACTTCCCGTAATAAGCGTCTTGATTTCAGTGTCTCTCGTGGTCTCTTGCTGACTGTGGCTCACCCTCCCACATCCTGCGCTCCACTTAACAAACGCTAATTTAAGAGTCGTAACAAATGGAGATAAACTGAACTCTGTCTATATTTGCAGCCGATAAGAGAATATATCTTTTTTCCATGTGCATAGGGAATATTCATAAAAATTCCCTATATATTAGGCCATTAAAAAGTCTAAATTAAATTCTTAAGGAAAAATAACAAAGACAATATTCTCTGAACATAATTCAGTAAGTAGCTGGCAACAGAATCAGAAAATAAAAAGATTCTTTACCTGGAAATTAAAAGCATGAAAAAACTCTGTTTTAAAAGAACACTTAGGAGGGGGCACTGGGTGGCTCAGTCGGTTGAGCATCCGGCTTTGGCTCAGGTCATGATCTCACGGTTCGTGAATTTGAGCCCCATATTGGGCTCTGTGCTGACAGCTCAGAGCCTGGAGACTGCTTCTGATTCTGTGTCTCTTTCTCTCTCTGCCCCTCCCCCTGATCTGTCTCTCTCTCTCTCTTTCTCTCAAAAATAAATAGGGGCGCCTGGGTGGCGCAGTCGGTTAAGCGTCCGACTTCAGCCAGGTCACGATCTCGCGGTCCGTGAGTTCAAGCCCCGCGTCGAGCTCTGGGCTGATGGCTCAGAGCCTGGAGCCTGTTTCCGATTCTGTGTCTCCCTCTCTCTCTGCCCCTCCCCCGTTCATGCTCTCTCTCTGTCCCAAAAATAAAATAAAACATTGAAAAAAAAAATTAAAAAAAAAAATAAACATTAAAAAAATTATATATAAAAAAAGGAATACTTAGGGAAAAAAAGGAAGAGTTAGCTATCGAATTTCTAGAGAAAAAATGCTTGGGAAAACCCTACCTACCTGAACGTAAGCATATGTAACTAAAGCAGTGCTTGGATGAAGTTACATAGTTTTATAAACTTACATTAGTAAAAAAATAAACTACATGGATTAGACATCTTCCTCAAACAGCTGGACAGAGAAAAACAACACAAAACCCAGAGGAATAATGGAAGATACTTAAAAAAATATTAATATGGGTATTGAAAGACTGGAAATCAAAAAGAGGTATTAAATAAAAAGCTGGTTTTTTTTGAAGAAAGCAATTAGATAAACTTCTAGGCAATCTATGTAATGGAGAAAACCCAAGTTAAGAAAACAAGAAATGACCAGGCAAATGACGTCAGAAATTGGAAACTGAAAGGATATCAAGGTAGGGTTTGCTCAAATCCACATGGGGCGTTCTAACGCTTGAATGAAATGAGAATGTTATCTAGTTTAATGAAACTGACCCAGGAGGGACATGAAATCTAACTAGACCAGAACCATGAAAGAACTATCCTGTCATAAAACTCCTGGTCCACATGGTTTTCAAGGAACATGCTCCCAAATACATAACCTAATGAATGAGCTTTTTTGCGAAGTGCTTCATGTGGCCTACAAATAATACGTATTCTGCGCCTGTTGGAAATGAAGTTACACGTACAGCTTATGCCTGTATTTAAAGAACAGATCATTATGAAGGTGTTTCCACTATAAGCTACTGAAACCATGTATTTTTTTTTAATATGAAATTTATTGTCAAATTGGTTTCCATACAACACCCAGTGCTCATCCCAACAGGTGCCCATGTATTTTAAAATAAACTTTACACAGTCTTTTTGAAAACTGGGCAGGGTCCCAGGGAAAGGAAGCTGTGGGTTTGATGGCCTGCCACCTGATAAAAGCCCGGGAAAAGCCAGAGAACTGGGAGAAATCCAGGACAGAAAGAACGGCAGGAGGACAAAGGATGGGAGATCCTGGAAAGGTGGCCCGGTTTGGCCAGACCGTGGAGGCATCGTAAGAATATATGTCAGGGTAACTGATTTTGGGTTTCGTCCAACAGTGGCTTTGTTGATGCGATCAAACATATGTTTCTGGAAAGCACTGCTGGCGGCCACCGGTCCCAGATGAGGCCAGGGGGTAGCGGGAGGCTGGCTCCCAGTACGAGAGCTGTTGAGGTCCCACCCACAAGAAGGCAATGACCGTAAGGCCGCAGGTGTAAGAGGGAAAACAGAGGGCTCTACAATCATTAACACCTAATCTTTCACGATCACAAACTACTTGCATGTTAAAGTCTTTTTTCATAATTCTGACCTAATTTGATTCTGAAAGCACCCCTTTACAGGAGGAAGAGAAAACATCATCACTCCCATTGGAAAGATGGGAAAACCGGGAAACCAAATAGAGAGCACCTTCTTTGCTTGAAGCTTCTTCGTCGAGGCCGTGTCTCTCCCAAAGGGAAAATATACGTGCAAGTATTTTAATCCCCCCAATTATAACAGGAATAGACTATTTCAGGAAGAACTATAATATTTTTAACTTACATTACGCTTTTTATCCTAATTAATATTCCACATCTAAACCACTTGTGACTATTTCCAAAAGTCTTATTACCTCCAAGGCAACTTGATTTTCTGTCGAAACTGCTGCTCCAGGAAAAATGTCTGCCATGATCTTTTCAAAAAGTGGGACATCTTCAGGGAGAAATTTTGGTAAACTAGCTTCTCTTACAGCCTCGGTAAGGATCAGACTTTCATCCGTTTCAGAAAGCTCGCTATTGGTGTTACTTTGGGGGGGAAGAAAAGACATATAAAGAACAAGTTAGCAAGTACGCTCTGCTGACATTAAAGGCCATCCTTAGTCTTTTTTAGAGGTGGCCACCCCACATCCTTTCCCCTTCTCCTTCACTGCAGAGCAGCCACGTGGTGTGGGTGAGGCTAATCTGGTCCCCAGATCCAGAGACGGACCGTGGCTGGTCTCAAACAATCAGGATAATGTCACTCCCCAGTCACTGATTCAGGGATGGGCATTGTATCAGTAAGGTGTTTCAGCTGCCAACAACAGAAATTCATGTGGGCTGATATGAAATGGAAAGTAACATGATGATTTATTAAAAATCTCTAGGTGGGCCAGAGAAGTCAGCTTGCAGGCTATATAGCTGGGAACAGTGGCCAAGACTATGCTACAGAACCGGCCCTGTGAACACCTGACAGCTAACCTAACAGGTCCAGGGGCCTTGCGTGTGCATTTCTTTTCCCACTAGCTTCAGGTTCAGACTGGAGTTTAACCGTCTCCGATTTGCCCAGGCTGTATGTTTAAGCCATGATTATAAGGGAGTTTTGAAAGGCAAGAATGGGGGCTGACAAATGTTCCTTAAAGGAATGTGATCCCAGCTCCGGTCAGTGGCAGTCATGAGGACACAGTGATTCCAATGCCCTGTGTGTTCAGAGTGGTTCGGGACTCGGTTCAGTGGGGCGGATGGCTCCGGGGATCCTTCCAAACCACCAGAAAGGAAGCCGACCAAGCCAGGACGCGCAGGGCTGCAGTGCTGACAACATCACAGAGAAATAAAGCCGAAACCGGCATCCAAGTCATCAGACCCCGCCCTCCTCTGCATTTTCTGATTGAAACAGTAAATTCCTCCTACTGTTTAAGCCAGCTTCAGTTTTCTGTTATTTGCCACAAAGGGCTCCAGATGTAAAAGCTGTCACATAATATGTTGTCCCATAACAACATTTTACACATTTATCCCTTTACCACATATTCTTATATATTAAACAAGCAACCGAAAGAAATAACTGCATGTGGTGTGATACAATTGTAGAGAGGCAAAGGAAGAAGAGTTTTCTGTGCAAAAGTGTCCTTCTCCTCTCCTGTCGACGGCTGGTCCAGAAATTCTTCATCAGGATGGTGGTAATTTTTAAGTCTTCGATCCTTAGTAAAGATAGGTAATAGCTAACATTTATTGGGTACTTTTTACTGGGCACTTTTTTTTTTTTTTAAACTTTAGTTTTGAGAGACTGCAAGTGGGGCAGGGGCAGACAGAGAGGGAGACACAGAATCTGAAGCAGGCTCCAGGCTCCGAGCTGTCAGCACAGAGCCTGATACAGGGCTCTGTACCTCAAGATCATACTCACGGACCTCGAGACCATAAGCTGAGCCAAAGTCCGACACTTAACCGACTGAGCCACCCAGGCGCCCCTTCAAGATTTTTATGTTTCTTTTTCTGAGAACTGTCCTTGGCCCTACAATGTCTTCCCTGCATTTTCTAGGCAGTCCTCACGCGTCATGGGGATGACCTATCCCACCGTGACAGGAAATGCAAACACCTTTCTTCCAGTTTATCATCTGTCTTCTGACCTTACCGTGTTTTTCGACCATTATCAATCATTCTTTACCTTTATGGCTTCTGGATTTTGAGTCTTAGTTTTAAAGGTCTTCTCTAGTTGCAGGATATAAAGGGCATTTTGTTTCTTCAAATACTTGTATGTTTTTAGTGCTTTTCTGGTCCTTTTATCTGGGAAAATGACGTTGGCTGCGGCTCCAACTCAGTCTTATGCACGTGGCAGTCTAGTTCCCCATCAGCACTCACTGGAAGTCTGTTCTTGCCTCACAACTGATGACAGAACACATGCCCAGTCGTGAGGTCCCACCTCTGGGCTTGCTCTCCTGACCCGATGGCTCACCTCTCTGTCCGTAAGCCAGCACCACGGTGCTGGGACCAGTGAAACTCCATAATACGTCTCAATACTTACAGGGATATTTCTCCTCCACTGCCCTCACTTTTAAACATTTTTCTAGCTAGTCTTTATTGTTTGTCTATGTGAACTTTAGAATCAGCCCACCTAAAAACAAATAATACCTTTAGGTATATTCACTGGGCTGTGTTTCTATATATAAATGAACATTTAGAGTCTTTAAATCTTTATGATGCTAAGCCCTTTAAGATGTTATAATATTACGTACCTGGTATATTATTTCATTTATTCACATTTTCATTTGTGTCTTTTACGAATGTTTTCTTCGTGTGGGTTGTACACATTTTTCATATAGGCATATTCATATAGGTTTTTTTACATTTCTCCTTTTAAATGAGGCCTTTTATTCCAGTGTATCTTTTAGGTTTATTTATTTTGAGACAGAGAGCGTGTGTGAGCATGTGCACAAGTGGGGAGGGGCAGACAGAGAGGAGAACAGAAGATCCCAAGCAGGCTCTGAACCATTAGCACAGAGCCTGATGTGGGGCTTGAACCCACGAACCACAAGATCATAACCTGAGCTGAAGCCGGGCACTTAACTGACTGAGCCACCCAGGCGCCCCAGTGTATCTTTTATTACATAAAGCTAAGATATAGTTGTTTTGTTTTGTTTTTTTTAAAGAATAGGTCCTTTTGTGGAAAAATACCCAGGGATTTTGTGCATTTTCTTCTTCTTCTTTCACATTCTTAAACATTCTTCACCTCTACCATATTTTTATCTCTACTTAAACATCCTGAGAGCTCCCTGTTTTATCGTGACATCATGACTTAGATTTTTACAAATTATTTTCCCCATGTCATGTAACTCTCTTTGACCTAACACTCAATCAAAATTCAACTCACCATTTAAACACCCATTTCTTCTTTCCAGCCGCTATTAAAACTGTCTTTAGAGACCTCAAGCCAAAATCATAATGATCCTAGAAAGCATTAAAATATTTGAGTTATTAAAGTGTCTCAGGGAAAAACGGAACTTGGAAATAAATGGGTCTCCGACACAGTCAACTCCCTCTTCACGTACACCGTGGAGACAGACCATGATGCGACTCAAGAAAGCCTCCATTTTGCTTCCAATCCCCTCGCCTCCCTCCCAAACTGGTGCCCCAAGCCTCCTTTTTTTTTTTTTTTAAAGTTTATTTATTTGAGAGAGAGAGGGAGAGCGTGCTCGCGAGTGTGCACGAGCAGGGGGAGGGGCAGAGAAAGAGGGAGACAGAGAGTCCCACTCAGGCTCGGTGCAGAGCCTGATGTCGGGCTCGACCTCACGAATTGTGAGATCGTGACCTGAGCTGAAATCGAGAGCTGGACGCTTCGACCGACTGAGCCCCCCAGGAGGACCCTCGAAGCCTCCTTCTAAAAAGAAAGTTAGCTGTCCCTGTCCCAACCATGTTGGGTTACAGACAAGTACTCTTCACGCTGGCGTATCCCAGGACAATCATTTTCAAAACATGGCGCTCAGACGAGCAGCATCAGGCACTCTTAGGAACTTGTCAGAAACACAAAGTCTCAAGCGCCACCCCAGACAAGCGGAACGCTGGTGGGAGAAGTCCAGTGACTGGTGTTTTAACCAGTCCCCCCAAGTGTTTCGAAGCACAATGAGGTGTGACAGTCACCGCTGTATCTGTCAGCTTCCTGGTATGGAGAGAGCAGCCCATCATGTAAAAGAGCAGATGCTTCGCGACTGTCTCCAGGGCCCAGAGGAAAGGCTTAGAGCCCTGCCTGACTTTACACATCACCTCACATCCGCACTGGCTCATGAACCCGATGCGCTAACAGGATTCCAGCTCCATTATTTCCCCAGGTCATCCCTGGTCCGATGCCCCAAGAGTCTCATTTGAAGTTTCATAGAATCACTTCTATTTTGAGAAAAGCAGTTTGTTACCTGTTGTGAGAGCTGTTTGTTAGCTAATTCGTAAATGCTAACCAGCTTTCCAGAGAGGGATTTTGCAGATTTGAAACCGGATGAAAACAGCATTATTTCAGTAATCATTTGATAATGGGGAGCCATCATCGCCACTGGGCGAAACAGAGATTTTAAGTTATCTGGGAGTTCTACTCGACCTTTGTACCTTAAGCGGGCAAGAAAAACAAAGACACAAAAAAACCAGACCACTTTTCAGTTTTTCTAATGAGGAACCACACAATATAGTTTCCCCCCAAATAATCCGGTTAGCTTTCTACTAGTTTGTCACATTAAGTTTATTTTTGAGAGAGAGAGGTGAGGGGGAGGCAGGGAAGGAGGGGCAGAGAGAGACGGAAACACGGAATCCAAAGCAGGCTCCAGGCTCTGAGCTGTCAGCACAGAGCCCGACACGGGGCTCGAACTGAAGAACCGTGAGATCATGACCTGAGCTGAGGTGGGACACTTAACCAACTGAGCCACCCAGGCGCCCCGTGTGACCTTTACCTGAAAACAAGTTTGCAAGACAGTTTCTATTGTAGTTTTCATCTCAAGAGCTTCCTCCTTTACTGTCCTTTCTCCCTGTGCCTCCTCCCACAGGGCCCCCCATCCCCTCACCAGGTGGGACCATCCGTCCTCCCTCGAGCCCTCCCAGCCTCCGCTCCTTGTAACCACCGTGTTCTGCTCCCCCTGCTACTCTCTGTTTGTTTGTTTTCTGTCTTCTTTGCGACAAACTGCCGACCTTTGCCTTTCCCCCTGGCTATTCATGAAGTGAAAAATCCCTCAGTCAGAAACGTCCACGTGGATAATTCCGGAGCCACGGCTGTTTAAGACACGTGGGGGTAGAGAGATTCGGGCGTTGGCGAGGGGATGGCAGATTACAGTGTCAGACAACTGCGTCACGGCTAAGATTTAAGAAAAGATTTTGACCTGTCTCCAACCGCCAGCACAGGTTAACCGATACTTACTCAGGATTCATGGTGACAAATACCGCACAAGACATATTGATACGAATGTCTTTTCCTTCCAGTACAAACCTAGAAGACATCGGAAAGGGGTTCAGAATGAGCCCCCACCCCCATGTGCCACTCTGGTAGGTGGATTATTTTTCCCTGAAAACGAAGGCCCGAAAAACCCAGAAAGAACCTTCTACCTCCCCCTTAACTGCTTCTAAGAATTCAGACGGAGGGCCCGGTCCAGAAGGAGAGCGGTCACCAGAGACAACTACGGCAGGTTTGGGCCGCGTGTGGCAAGCTGTGGGGGGCTCAGCACAGCCCGCTTATCCCAACTCCTGTGTCCCATGGTCTCTGCAGGACACGACAACTGTCTGTTCACCAAACATGTGCTCTTCCCATCTCCTGTGAGTTCTCTTCCTTCCCTCGAAGCCCCAGACTCCTTCCCCCTTCTCCTTAGCTCAGGATGGCACACAAAGCTTAACCGTCTGCCTGTCTTTGAACGTCTCACGTGTGTGTGAGGCTCCCCTATGTATGGAATTAAAGTTTTCTCCTGTTAATTTATCTTACGTCGGCCAAAAGAGCCTAAAAGGGTAAAGGAAACATTTTCCTCCCCTGTACAATATGATTCATTACTAAGAGGACTGTTTTCTCTAAGCCAAAGGATGTTCAAACTATAAGTGAGCTTGGGAACTTTCCTAAGGCTGTTTTACATTTAAATCCAAACTGCACGGACTGGGGGAAAATGACTGTAAGAGGGAAAGAAGAGGCTGATCTCGAGCCCATGTTGCGAGCCCTGCTGGGGTTCAGATTTATTTGATTGTGTCTGTGGAGTTTTGTGGGGCCTGAGGCGGGAAGGCACCCACCTGAATGAACTGACTGAACGGGAAAAGAACCCTAGGAGACCCTCGGACACAGGGTTCTCCCTTGGTGACAGCGTGGAGCGAAGAGTGATGATGGCGCAGAGTTCCTGCATTAGCACGGGACGCAGCCCGCCCTCAGCTCCCCGACTGAGTAATTTTGGGAACGCTGGGAAGGAGAACCCTTGGCATGGACATTAGCGCCCTGCTGTCAGCACCAGACAGAGGGACCGTGGAGAGAAAGCCTCCAGTGATTTTATGGACGTCTAATACCGGTGAGGGTGGTCGAAGCAGGAAAGGAAAACCACTGGCAACAAAGCCTGGGGACACCCCCCCCCACTTCTGTTTTTTAAAGATTGTAATAGACATTTTAAACCCACAAGTCCAATTACACCCATAAAGTAAACCATGTGAGCTCCTGAATTTATCTGACGGGAAAGACATTTTTGCTTGGATTAGTAAACATTAGTAATCTGAACATACAAATAGTATTTTTACAGGATTTTTTCAATACAAGTCTATTAATTCAGAGTAATGGGATAAGGGAGGGCTTCAGGTGTGTGGCCAGTATAATTTTATTTTTTAAAAAGATGTAGAATTAAAGAAAAAGTCTTTGGTTTCTTCACGTGAAATAGGTACTAAGAGAATTTAAGCCCTAAAGTAAAATTAGTTGGAACATATTTGCGACCTTGTCCTGGTGGCTCCCAAGACCGTTCCAAGGCTGGGCAAGAGCCTGGATACCCCCAGGTTGGCATGAAAGTTAGTTACATATATTCACACGTTACTTGACGAGCAAAGGGGACATTCAAGACAAATGTCATTCTTTTCGGTCTATGTTCGGGGAGGGGGGAAGAACCCAAACCCAAACACTTACTGTACAACAAAGTATTTGACAGTAAGTAACCAAACACATTCAACCGATACCTGACCAAATAGCTGTCTTTTGTGGCCTTAATTGTTAGGATCTGCGACGCAATCACAGAGAGGACCTGCACATCGATCCGATTGAACTCATCCAAACAGCACCACGCTCCCGACTGAACCAGTCCGAGGAAGAGTCTTCCTATTATCTTGAAAACAATTATTACACAGGTGAACACTCTCCCGGGGCCACGGCTTTTACCCGAACACTCTCCCGGGGCCATTCGGCCTTTTACCCGAACAGGTGCACTGTGCGCGGCTGGTGCTCGGACCCCGCAGGGCAGGCTGGCGCTCTGGGGAGCTCACGGCTCAGCACAGGGGTCCTCACATCCGCTCTCCTGCAGCCACAGCCTCGGGGCCGAGCGGAGGGCGTGCTGCTGCTGGGTGATGCACCCGAGGACCTGCGGGAGCTGGGCCACACTGGGGCGGCCCCCCAGAGCCCCGGCAGGTGCAGGTCGGAGTGCCCGGGGCTCTCGGCGCTCCCGGGAGACTCACGGTCTGGAACCTACCAATGGGTAAATGCTGGCCGCAAAAACAAGTGAAAACTCTGTAGGCCCGGCAGAACCTGTGTGGACGAAGACAGGCTAGGGACCGTGTGAGCTAGGGCATGGGAGGCGGGAGCGCACGTGGGAGCCCCTCCGGGTGGGACACAGGGCCTGGTTCTCCCCACTGGCTGCAGGAATCACATCGTGTCTTTATTTAAAATTTTGATATTTGGTTTATCGTGCGTTTTTTGATTCTAAAAAAGTATTGCATTAAAATATTATTTGATTAGCAGGCTTCCCAGCTCCCCCTCAGGTTTTGCGTGGGCAGGCAGGCGCCTCAGTCCTGTCCCTCCCCCAGCCCTGCTGCCCCCACCGCAGGAAGAGACAAGAGACTACTTCCTAAAGGTCTTAATGATATGGATGCAATCAGCTTGTTTAGGTTTCACTGATATTCTTGATGTGCTAAGTGAGCACAAACTGAAAACGCAAGATCTCCGGATAATGGACTTTGAACTGCAAATGAACTGACTGCCATAAAAGGTAACTGGCCGGAACTTAACATGCAAGACAAAATAGAATGTTTCAAAACTTCAGGTCAATTTGGGACAGGCACAGAGGTACATTAAATTTTAATAAATATTTCAGAATGTTATGAGCTACACCTTAGGTCACGTGCTATCATAACAAGGCTGACATAAACTCAATCCTCCGTATCAACCCTGCCTCACATTTTTGTGTTAATAGCCTCCTTGTTCTTAACGATTACCTTTTCAGTAAATAAAGGTATAAGGTTAGAACTTATAAATTTATATTAATAAAGCAGTACTCTTAATTTCTTAATATAGTCACATCCTATATCAGATTTTGTTTGGAAAAGTCCCCCATTAGAAAGTTTGAAAACCACTGTCTTAGGTAGTTCAACTGCATAATGTTGTAAGTCTCAGTTACGTTAATTTAAAAGAATTAACAGCATTTGCAGTTGCTAACACTCAGTGTCTCTCCAAGGGAAATATTTTCCTTGTTCTTTCAATCCTCCATGAACTATTTCTATGTATGCTATTTTTTTCCTGCATAGATATGAACAGACTTTACCTTATAATCCAAATCCTCAAAACAGGTGAACACCACACAATGTTTGCCTAACGACTGAAAAACAACATTATTTTAGTACATTGCTCAGCTTCTGACGCGAAATACTAATGTTAAAACTTCTAGAGTAATAAAATGTCTTTACTCTTTTGAGAAAACGTTGCAATATAAGCATGCATTACCCACCAAATTTAGAAACACTCAAAACCGAGTGGAGTCTGAATGCGCATACGCTGTTTGTTAAGTTGATCAGTACGTGGAACGCTAAGGTCCTGTTTTTAAAACACACCAACGAGTAACTGAGAAAAAAGCATTCCAGTGACATCGTTCCAGGGACGTCAAACACGTCTTGTGTTCATCAGTTACTTCTCTGTCTCTGTCTCTCACACACACACACACACACACACACACACACACACACACACACACTGCTATTAATCACAAAGACTAGGTAAAAGTCTGTGTGGGGGGCTCAAACAAAACGGGTCACCCTTAAATGAAGGGGGACAAGACCACCGTTCATGCGTCAGCTTGTCCGGTGGAATCCCAAACACGACGCACGCTCGGCGTGCAGAGAGGCCAAGTCCCTGTGCACTGTGGACATTTAAAAATTAAAGGACGAATTATATGAATTAATAAGCATGGTGAGATGTCTGTTAAATGTTAGGAACATCTCAATAGCAGGAACAGTGTGAATTTAAGGTACTGTTAAGGTCTGTGTATTTATTCTGGATACAGAAACCGCTTACCTTTGCTAGATCTTTGACACTCTCTGTTTTGCCCGTCCCGGTGGGCCCAGAGGGGCAGCCTCCGAGATTCAAGAGCAGAGCCCCCGTGAGCGTGAGCTGGCACCTGTTGGTGAGGGGCGTAAGGACCAGTCTGGGGGTACAGCCCAGGTACTCGTAGCCATAAGTAAAGCTGGCATCGCCTTGGGACACGTAGCACAGCTGTTGTTTTTCGTTCCACTGATACTGCAAATGTCTGAGAACGGTATTTTCAATGCTCATGTTATTTGGACAAAACTATTTTTAGTTTTTTTTGCACATGTAGAAACACAATAAAAACTAAAAACGGGATGTTGACTAAAAAACAAGTACAAACATTAAAATAAAAATGACAGGAGTTACAGATCATTCAACGGCTACATCAGACACGAAATATTAGGACTCAGAACTCTACAAGCTTACGAGCACTTTTCCCGGCGAGGAAAATGGCCTTGCTGAATCTTGCCGCTGCTTTGGTGTGGTGTGGGCAGCACTAACGGAGGATTTATACAAGAATGATCCCTATGAAGTTTTTTACAGTTCTCAATAAAAACGTGGCTTATGATATTGCTCATTATAACCAGGACCCTTCCTATAAGGGTAACTGAGGGAAATGCTCTTTGTTCTTAGTATCGAACAAAACCATTGTATTTATCTTATGACCCCGTCAACTGTGTGCTAACTGTAAATCTTGTCTTCTATAAGAGGCTCTGGGTAAAACTTGTGACCAATCTGTAGCTTTACAGTATGTGTTCTTCCCTCCCCCCCATTTTTATCGAGATATCGACATATACCTTTGTGTTAAAGGTGAACACACAACATAACGATTTGATACATGTACATACTGTGAAAGAATCACAATAAATTTAGGTAACATCCTTCATTCACACAGGTATGAACTTCATTTTCTTGTGACGACATCATTTAAGATCTACTGTCTTGGCATCGTTCCAATAAAGAATTGTTAACTACAGGCGCCATGCTATACATTCCATCCCCAGAACTTATTTCTAACTGGAAGTTGGTACTATGATGTCCTTCATCCATCTTCCACCCCAGCTCCATCCCCGGCCTCTGGCAACCCCCAATCTCTTCTCTGTTTCTATGAATTCAGTGTTTTGGGGTTTCCCATATAAGTGGGGTCATAGATTACCTGACTTATTTCATTTAGCATAATGCCATCGAGGCCCATCCATGTTGTAGGATTTCCTTCATTTTTTATGGCTGCGTGGTATCCCATTCTATCCATGTACTACATTTTCTTTTTTAATATTTTTTTAATGTTTACCTATTCTTGAGAGAGAGAGAGAAAGAGAGAGGGAGAGAGGGAAGGAGGGGAGGAGGGGCAGAGTGAGAGAGAGAGACACATAGAATCCGAAGCAGCCTCCAGGCTCTGAGCTGTCAGCAGAGCCCAACACGGGGCTCAAACTCACAGACAATGAGATCATGACCTGAGCTGAAGTCGGACGCTCGACTGATTAAGCCACCCTGGTGCCCCTACATTTTCTTTATTCCTTCATCAGTTAATGAATGTCTTGGCTATTATAAATAATGGTACGATGAACATGGGGGTACAGATATATTTTTGAGATAGTGATTTCATTTCATCAGGGAAAATACCCAGAAGTGGAATGGCTGGATCACATGGTAGTTATATTCTTAATTTTATGAGAGACCACCATCCATTTCCAGAGTACGTACACCAATTTACATCTCCACCAACAGTGTATAAATGTATTTTCTCCACAGCCACAACAAAATTTGTTACTTCTGGTCTTTCTGGTAATAGGCATTGTGACACATGTGAGGTGATATCTCATTGTGGTTTTGATTTGCATTTCCCTGGTGACTAGTCGTGCCGAACAGCTTTTCACATACCTGTTGGCCATCTGCATTTCTTCCTTAGACTGCATGTCTATTCAGTTCCTCTGCCCATTTTTTTAATCAAAAACATTTATTTTGCTGAGTTGTAGTTCTTTATATATTTTAGATCTTAACCCCTTATTAGATTAATGGTTTGCAAATATTTTCTCTCATTGCATAGGCTGCCTTTATTTTATTTAAAAAACTTTTTTTTAACATTTATTCATTTTTGAGAGACAGAGAGAGGCAGAGTGTGAGTAGGGAAGGGGCAGAGAGAGAGGGAGACACAGAATCCGAAGCAGGATCCGGGCTCTGAGCTGGCAGCACAGAGCCCGACGTGGGGCTTGAACTCACGAACTGAGAGATCCTGACCTGAGCCGAAGTCGGACGCTCAACTGACTGAGCCACCCAGGCGCCCCCATAGGCTGCCTTTGAAATTTATTGATGGTCTCCTTTCTTGTGCAGAAGCTTTTGGCTTGATGTAGACCCATTTGTTTATTTTTGCTTTTGTTTCCTTTACTTTTGGTGTCAAATCCGAAAATTATTGCCAAGACCAATAACAAGGAATTTACTGTCCATGTTTTTGTGTAGAAGTTTTATGGTTTTAAGTCTTATGTTCAAGTCTTTAATCCATTTCAGTTGGTTTCTGTGAGGGGCATCAGGTAGGGGTCCAATTTCATTCTTTGCATGCAGCTGTCCAGTTTTCCAAACACTATTTATTGAAGAGACTATCCTTTCCCCATTGCCTATTCTTGGCTCTTTGGTCACAGATTGACTACATATACGTCAACATATATATACACGTATATACGTCTATATGCATGTCTATACATATCTCTCTCTCTATCTATCTATCTATCTATCTATCTATCTATCTATCTATCTCCTGGCTTTCTATTCTGTTCCATTGGTCTATGTGTCAATTTTTATGCTAATACCATAGTGTTTTGATTATTATAGCTCTGTAATATGGCTTGAAATCAGGAAGTGTGATACCTCCTTCTTTGTTCTTCTTTCTCAAGACTGTTTTGGATATTTGAGAGGTCTTTTGTGGTTCCACAGAAATTTTAGGATTTTTTTTTTCTATTTCTGTGAAAATTGCCATTGGAATTTTGAGAAGGTTTGCATGGAATCCATAGATCACTTTGGGTCATATGGACATTTTAACAATATTAATTTTTTTCAATCCTTGATCATGGGTTATCTTTCCACTTGATCCCATGACCCCGGGATCATGACCTCAGTCAAAATTAAGAGTCAGATGCTTAACTGACTGAGCCACCCAGGTGCCCCAAGAGAAAATCATTTTTTTGTCATTGTTAAATAATCACAGTTATTTACTAATGGGATGTGTGTATGTGTTGTGCGCTACATAATTTCTCAAACCTTAGAATCAGATAGTATACTGCCAATCTTGTTTCACGTTAATGTTCATTTAGTGCTTGCCTTTTTTATTAATCAGGGAAACTGTCCAAAACCTAGCTTTGCAAGGATAAGAAATCACTGACCGTTTATCACGTGGTCTCACGTTAAACCTGTCAGTTACTCGGAGCTACTAGTTTGCCTGGTGTCTGACAGGTGTTCTGTATCCCTCCGACTCCTTCAAAAGTTTAACATTTTTTGCTCACTGGTGTCCTGTGAGTTCCCTGTGGTGCCTTAGGTCATGCTGGCCCGTAATTTGGGAACCGTAGCCCTAGAATCACAGGTGCTCTCAGGGTTTATTGGAATCACGTCTTTTCCACTTTGCTTTTCTACATATGCTCTTCCACCCTTGGTTTTCACTCTCCGAGAGTCACTAGCAAAGTAGCAATGACACACTAAACTCTGGGGTGATGGTTCAAAAAGATGACGTATTTCCTTGGGAACTAAAAATGTAGACCGTTATACTTCTGCCAGAAGACGAACGTGTGAGTACGTGTCAAATAGAAAGTACTCAGGTGAAATATACGCAAGTGGTGTTAGTCAAATATTTCGGCCTCTCTGCTCCATTTTCCCTAGAGTTTAAGGAAATTGTCACATCAAAAATAAGGAGATTTATAGTAACGCAGAATTTCTTAACAGTGAGCTTTTCTTAAGAACCAAAGACCTTACGCAGGCAGGACAGTTGTTTTTCCATGAACAGAGGAAACCGTAGAGAAAAATTAGCTCAGAAGTTTGAAACTGCACATTTATCACAGGACTCTTATGCTTGATCTTTTCTCCCCAAAGCCGGTGGTTCTGTTTTTCTACAGTGTCGTGTTTGCACACGAAACACCACGTAAGTGTGAGTACGCGCGCTCCCAGGCTCCTGGCGGGAAAAAGGGGTCCTGAGACCTGACTTGTGTCCCAGAATTGAGCGCGCACGGGGGGGAAGTGGAGACCCGAGGGAGAGCTGCTGTCACGGCCCACTGAGAGCTGCCCTCTGGCTGAAAGGCGAGGGAAAACGCAACCACAGGAAGAAGGAAGCCAGTCCAGGAAGACGGAGCAGAAAGAGGTTCGAACCAAGCGGAAGGACAGTGGAAAGGAGGAAGCAGCAGAGGCACGCAGTATCCAAACCGACACGGTTTGCTCAGAATTTCTACACGTCCTGGAAAAGTAAAATTTGGGTTCGACAAAATCTGACGCAGAGAATTAATTTACCGAGAGGGAGCGCTGGACGAGGGACGAGCTATTTTAGGTGGTGTTGTCGTCTCACCTACTCACCTTGTCCACTCAAAATCATCTGCGCTGAAGACCCCTTTCAGCAGCAGGTCCCCCACTACGTCTCTGCAGTGAACGTACAGCGTGAGCAGCGCCCCCAGGACGGCTTTCGTGCGCGCGTTACCGCAATCCAGCGCCACAAGCTCCGAAATCTCCTCCAGCTGACCCATCAGACCAGCACGGACTTTCTCCAGCTCCTCTCTTGAACGAGAGCTCGCAAAACTTCTGATGCAATCATTAGAAAACATGATCTGGCTCTGAAAAAGAGGTCAAGATGACGAGTGAAGAATAAACTTGATGAATTAAACCAGACGTTTTCATACCACGTGAGTGTGCGCAGTTCACCCGCTTGTATGTATCTGAGAGTAAGACACTGAACTCGGGTTAACGCCTGTGGGGCCCTTGTTTTTTAAGAAGCCGAAATGTATTTACCACCAATATTTATACTTTTGAAATCTTGTGTTTTTTTTTTTTTTAAGTCTATTTATTTCTTTTGAGAGAGAGAGAAAGCATTGAGTGGAGAAGGTGCAGAGAGTGAGGGAGACACAGAATCCCAAGCAGGCTCTACACTGTCAGCACAGAGCCCGATGTGGAGCTTGAACTCATGAACCGTGAGATCATGACCTGAGCTGAAGTCGGACGCTTAATCAACCGAGCCACCCAGGTGCCCTGAAATCTTGTATTCTTAACCACCATCACTAGCCTGAGCAGTAATCCAGGGACAGTGATAATGGTAGAAAACCCCAACAGGAAGTCAGCACCGTTTCCTCAGTTGAACCCAGAAATACTAGTCTTAGAATATGGTGTCTGCAATCATAATTTTCAGGAACTCCGAATAACTTGTTACTTGATCCATTTTCGGACACTCACTCTTACCATAAACGCCAGAGCTGTTTTAAGAAGGCTACTGGATTAACGTCACATTGACCTGGAAGTCGGTGGAGGGGACACGTCAGGAGGCTTGTAGGCTTCTGCCCCATAATGAGATCAATCGTGATTTCGGTCACTAGGATAGTCCTACTGAGGGGGAAGTGTGCTGCGGGTGAGAGGGGACAGTGAATTCGTTTTGGGATTTTATGAATCTGAAGTGCCTAAGAAGCATATAAGTAAGGCTGTGAAGAAATAAATACCGGAATAATTAACATGGAGGTAATCTGTATAGCGAGGCGGTGGGGGGGCTTTTGCCCAGAGCAAGGTCAGAGGGTAGAGGATGGGACACCTGATGCACCCGTCGGTGCTGCTGGCTGACTTTCTTCGAGGATGTGGTAACCCACAGCAGTGGATCAACAGGAGGCTGGACACGGAGGCTCAGGAAGTAGGCGGGAGCAAGTCTGGGCCAGGCAGCAGGGACCGTCATCGAGGCCACAGCACTTAACCAGAGCCAGAAGCCACCGCACTGCTGGGTTTGAGGCATCTATTCAAGATTCCCAGCCTCGGGGGAGAGCATCCAATGGGCCGAGTGCCCTCCCCGGGCTGCAGCAGTGGGGACGGAGGAGGATTTGGTCCCAGCGAGGTGGACCGGGAACCAGATCTTCATTTATTTATGTAGATGGATGGAAGGGAGTCCTCACTCGCTACGGCTTGGATAAACCCACGCTGGGATTCTGGAATTCTGTCGGTGGCCAGAGCGTGCAAACATCTCACCCCCGCCCGCCCGCAGGCGTCTGCCGGGAGAAGGTTCCCAGCCGCGTCACGTGCGCAGGAGAAAGGGAGGCTGTCAACTGTACAGGGAGGAGAGGTGAGCAGTGGGCAGCCTGGGAGAAAACGGGGCAAAGTCTGTTCGGTGATTTAAGCTCAAGCCTATAATAAAGCATTTCTGGAAATGACCCAGCCTGCTTCTCACTGTTAACATTTTCGGAGGACCAGGGACCTGGGGAAGATCTTTTCTTTGTAGAGCGGATTCGATCATTCGAATGCCCGGTAAACCACAGAAACATCCAGATGGCTTCATTACAATTTCGCCGCCTTTGCAGACAACAGCTTCAGCAAGTCCTCGGCCCAGGATCTTAGAGGATCTGATCGATCTTCAGTCAAGGGGACGACAGACGGGACCAAGGGGATTTGACGTCGGAATTCGGGTCCATAATCCCAGGTTCTCTTAACAGAGACTCGGCCGTTGTGGTGGCACAAGGCAGAGTAAAACGAGGTGATGTTGGTCTTACGTTTAACAGAGGAGTTAATAGAGCCACTCGACGACAGTAACTCCTGATGACGAGACTTCCGCCTTCACCACTGCGGGAAAACTACTGTCTCCATGGTTCCTGCAGACCCTCCTCGCCAACGGACACAGAGGACTCTTCAGGCCTCTCTAGAGCATCTTAAAATGACGAGCAGGCACTTTTTCTAGAGGAAAGTCCATCAGATTCCCTCTCTCCTGCCTTGGCTTCCAGGACCCCCTCCTGGGCACTCGATTCCCTCCTTGCACCGCCCCCTCCTTCATCTGTTTGTCACAGGGGGGTGTCCACTGGGGTCTTTCCTCTTCCTTGTCTTTTTCTGCGGGTCCTATACACTCTCTCAGCTTCAGCCATCACTTCACCGGCTCTGCTCACAGGAGCTGCCCGCCTTGGCTTTCTTGGTACCACACGGGCCTTGCGTTTCTTCCTCTTCCCCTTCGAGGTCCAGAATGATGGCTCCCTGCAAAGATATCCAGGCGCTAGTCCCCAGGTGCTTCTGGCACCTCACTTAATTACATCAAGACCTTGAGGTGGAGAGATTACTCTGGATGATCTGTGTGGTCCCGACATGATCACACGGGAGAACTTTTTCTGCCTGCGAACAGAGGGAGGTCAGACGAAGGAGACCGGCCAGAGAGACACAAACCACGCTGGCTTTGAAAATGAAGGAGGGGCCACAAGCCAAGGGGTGTCAGTGGTCTCTAGAAGCTGGAAAAGATGAGGAAAGGGAGGCTCCCCCAGAGCCTCCAGGAAGGAATGTGGCCCGGCTGACGCCTTGATTTTAGCCAGTGGGCCCAGGGGGGCCTGGAACCGGCAGAGCCGCGACGTAATGAACGTATGCTAAGTTTGTGGTAACTCTCTAATGGCGATGGTAGAAAACAAACACAATGCAACAGAGTGACATCCCTAAGAAAATAGTGTGCGATTTATTTTCATTCAACGTTTTCTTATGAAAACATTTAAAAACGTGAAAAGGTGGAATTATAAAACGAATACCCATATACCCACCACCTATGTGCTAATTTTTTGCTACATTTGCCTTCTTGCACATCTGTCCATGCATCCGTCCGTTCGTCCGTCTTATGTTTTGATGCATTTCAAAGTAAGTGGCACATATAAGTACCGTTCGTGATGGTTTATTTCTACATCTTTGCTTTCTTGGCAGTCTAGTTCAAATGAACTTACCACTGTGAGGACCACTTGTCCCGGATGAGACACCACCCACACGGAAAAAGTCTGGTAGCTCCAGTCTTCGACCCCTTGACTTACAAATCTATAAACAAAATGTTTTATTTCCATTATTACATGTGATCATTGTGGCCCCTTAATGATCAAGCGTGACAAGATTTTCCCTTAGGATCCCTAATTTTTTAACTCTAAGTATATGTATGGGATCAAATGCTAGAGATAACAGAGCCTTAATTCATGCATAATGAATATTCCTTAAACTTCTCTTTAATACCACCTGTACGTGTCCAGTGAGGGGCCGCCAAGTTTTGGGGATGGTAAAGCTAGAAGGGGGAGACGACACATATTTAGGTTTGAACTTCATACTATCAGTGACAAAGTCAGCATTTAAAATAATTTGTACAAGGGTGCCTGGGTGGCTCAGTCGGTTAAGCGTCGGACTTCGGCCCAGGTCACGATTCACAGTTCGTGAGTTTAGGCCCCGCGTCGGGCTCTGTGCTGACAGCTCAGAGCCTGGAGCCTGCTTTGGGTTCTGTGTCTCCCTCCCCCTCTCTCTGCCCCTCCCATGCTCATGCTCTGTCTCTCTGTCTCAAAAATGAATAAAATGTTTAAAAAATAATACTAATTTGTACAAGATGGAGTACTGGGCTGAAACCACCAAATGAACTTTAGCAGTAAAGCCTTGCATTTAACTTTAAAAATGAGTCATAATGAAGAAAATAGGATTTATGAAAAATATGTAGAAATTTTTCTTTAAGACTAAGTTCATGTGTGCCATCAGTATATGTCTTCATATTGTATGGTGGGTTTTTTTTCACTCACAGTTTTAAGTTTCTATATAGTCAAATTGATGACTCTTCACATTTTCTCACTGAAATTCTCACACATTTTCTCACTGAAATTAGAAATTCTCAACACTAAATCTGTTTTCTTCTAATACTTCATTTATCAATCTTTAGACTCTGATTTTTTTAAATTAAAAAATGTGTATTTATTTTGAGAGAGAGAGAGAGAGAACCAACCGTGAGATCATGACCTGAGTTGAAACCAAGAGTCAGACACTTAACCGTCTGAGCCCTCCAGGTGCCCCTAGAATTTATTTGATTTTTAAAATGAATATTGATTCTAATTTTTGCTGTAATTGCAAATGGTGTCTGTTTTTATTATTTTCTTCTTTATCATTGCCACTGAGGGCAAATAGGTTTATAGTGACTTTTTATATATTTCAAGACAACATCAGTGGTGAATGTATGTTTAATCAACTAAATTGGTCTTTTATTTCATTTAGTGTTTGTTTTCTTTTGGTTTGTTATTCCATGAACTGTCTTTATTGCTTTTATTCATAACTTTTTGTAGCATGGCTGTATCTCTCAAACAGGATACAGTTCCATTTATCTTTTGACAAGATCTTTTAATTAGGATCATATTCCTATTTTGACCCTCTCCCCCCACCCACTGCACACTGTATTTTCTTTATTTTGTTTCTCCCAGGGTTTGGGAAATATTTATTCTGATTTTTTATAGTCTATAGTGTGAGTGGATCAAGATTTTTGACTTAATAATCCTGTCTTCATCCTGAACCATATTCTTTCAAATGACAGATGAGACGCGAATATTATATATAATACACATATTACATATTTTATACATACACACGCACACACATGCACACCACACTGGACGACAACAAAGTGTGCTCTGGGACACTGACGACGAGGAAAGTCTCTCGCAGACAGACAGCAAACTGGGATTGAATTACAGAAAGAAGAGCAGAGAAACCAAAGAACACCGCTGTCGGGTGCGACAAACACAACAGCACCCGGGGAGCATCTTCGGACGGTCACGAGAGCCGTGACCTCTGCCTGTGTCTCCACCACCTGCCCTGTGCTGACTTCCGGGCGGGGGTGGGGGCGTTGGGAGCGTCCTAGGGTGAATGCTGGAGGGAGCAGCAGAGCAGGGCCCGAAATCACAGCACACACCCTGAACCACGGATGGGGAAGATAAAAGGAACGGAGGGTGGGGGTGGGGAGAGAGGGAGGGAGAGCAAACAAGGGAAGGGGACCCTGGCATTTTCCCCTAAGAGGAGGAAGATCTGAAGCGGGGCTGGAACTCCGGGACCAGCGAGGTGACCCGGGAGGTGACAGAGGGGGTGTGCAGGCTCCGGGAGAGACAGAAGGAATCTGCAGACGCTGAGAGATGAGCCACCACGGACTGGGCCCCGCGTCCGTCCTGCCAACCGCAGCCGTGGCGGGCGGCCCGCTGCGATTACGCACCGGTGTTTGCTCGCCGGGGGATAGGGACTCGCCGGTGTGAGCGTGAATAACCCAGTCTGCCCAGGGGCGCGGTGTGAACGGAGCCCACGCAGCCTCGCGCAGCTCCGTTCCCAAAGCCAGCACACATCCGAGGCTCCGGGACCCGATGCAGGTCACGGGTGGGCGGCGGCTGACGATCGCTCAGCCAGAGGGGAGTGTCACTTCTGAATACGAACCTCACCTGGAGAGACAGAACACTGCCAAGTCCTGCAACACTCGATAAAATAAAAGTAACTTCTCCAAAGGTGAGAGAAGACCTCAGTTTGGGCTGACCTGCAGAATGGTCACGTATCAGAACGAAATCGATGCCTCTCCCAAAACCCGGCAGAAAAGGGCAGACCCTGCATGTCCACCACCCCTGCGCTGTTGTCTCCTGCTCTTGACCCAGGTGTCATCAAGCCCCCACCGAGAGGCCCGCCTGAGGCCACACTGCAGCATCCCAGAAGACATTCCAGCTCTGTCCTGCCCACCTGGTGCTCCGAGGGTCTCTCGGTGTTTCTCCCTGACCCGATCCACTCAGCTCTTCCTCACCAACGCATCGCTTTGGTGATATTTTGGGGGAGCTAGCATTCAACACGTTGGATTTGACCTTAGAAACTAATTCCACTCAGATTAGCATGCAAGTAAGAGAGCAAAATAAAAATATTTGCCACTCACAGATGCTTTCTGAAAAAATTACTTGGAAACATATAGCAGAATGAAACTAAACTCTACAGTGTGAGACGTATGAATCCATCCTGAACAAAAACCAAACCAAACAGACCAAAAAATTACTAACACTAGAGAATTACAGGGAGTTCAATTTGGAATAAAATCCCACATGATTACGGAGGTGACGGGAGGGCATTCTGGAGTGACCATGCACACTGGGGACAAGTCGGATTTTACCACAGGCTTTGACTACATTAACATTTTAAGAGTATTCACCAGGAAAAAGTGTCTCTGACTTTGGCATGTCTACCCCAAAAGAGATGAGGAAACTCAATATAACAACAGTAAGTGAACTCCCCCCACCAAAACCAAGAGCCCAGTCACGAGAAGACATACAACCGGAAACCACGGGAAGGAGCACACAAGAGGGTGCTCGGGGAGTTTACGGAAGGGACTCTGCGGACGTGCAGCAAGGTTAAGGGAGGCAACAGGGGTGGTGAAGCATTTATTTATTAAAAATAGTGCTGGGCATCCAGGTGGCTCAGTCAAGCATCCAACTCTTGACTCGGGCTCATGTCATGATCTCACGGTTTGTGAGTTCGAGTCCTGAATTGGCTCTGCACTGACATCGTGGATCCTGCTTAGGATCCTCTCTCTCCTCTCTCTGCTCCTCCCCAGCTCACACATGCATGTGTGCTCTCTCAAAATAAATAAATAAACTTAAAAAAAAAAAAAAAAAAAAAAAAAAAAAAAAAAAAAAAAGAAAGAGGGGGCCTGGGTGGCTCAGTTGGTTGAGTGACCGACTTCGGCTCAGGTCATGATCTCACAGTCTGTGAGTTCGAGCCCCACGTGGGGCTCTGTGCTGACAGCTCAGAGCCTGGAGCCTGCTTTGGATTCTGTCTCCCTCTCTCTCTGCCCCTCTCTCACTCATGCTCACTCTCTCTCTCTCTCAAAGAATAAACAAATATTTTTTAAAGATTTTTTAAAAGAAAGAAAGAAATGCTAGAAATACGAAAAGGATAAAAATCCACAGAAAAGGAAGAAATGTTTAACACAGTTTTCTAAAAAAAAAAAAGTAAGTGGACCAAAGAATGAACAGGAAAACAAGGAAAATTCAACATAAGGAAATTTGTTATTGTAATTCATGACAACCACAAATCAAAGTTAAAAGAGTATTTGGGATTCTTGATAGTTTCATTAAGAAAACCCTCTGACCTTAATAAACATCCTTTAATTATTAAAAACTCTGCAAACAAGGAATAGAACAAAACTCTTTACTTTGATGAGGGGTATATTCCAGAAATCTAAGCATCGTTACAAATGGAAATACTAGAGATGTTCCCAGTAAAGTCAGGAACAAGAGAAGGATGCTCACTGTCACCTCTGCTTTTCAACACTGTACATCTGTCATCCTAAACAACATGAAAAGGAAGTGACACTTTTCAAAGGACTGTAAAGAGACCTTAGTAGCAGTATTATCATTATTATCAAATGACAAGACTCTCTAATCAGAAAACTCCCAGAGTAACAAGTGGAAATCTGTTGGTCTCTCAAATGCCCAGATGCCTTTTGCGGGGCGGGGGGAGGGGGGGGGCGTCCTTGCCCAGAGGAGTTCCTGCCCTCACACATAAGAGGACATCTGGCCCTTATCACATCACCCCCAGGGAAAAACCAGAGCCAGGGAAAGCCACTGTGGTTATTTATGTAAGTAAATAATAATCTACTCTGCTCTAGAAGCCTTGTGTGGGCATTCAGGATCATATTAATAAATACAGATATTAAAACCTCAAGACCAATAAGTAGCTTTTCTTTTTTTTTTAAGTTTATTTTTATTTAATTTGAGAGAGAGATAGAGAGCAAGGCAGAGAGGGGCAGAGAGAGAGGAGGAGCGAGAGAATCCACAGGCTCCACACTGTCAGCACAGAGCCCGATGTGGGGCTCAAACTCATGAACTATGAGATCATGACCTGAACTGAAATCAAGAGTCAGATGCTTAACCGACCGAACCACGCAGGCACCCCCCAACCAGTAAGTAGCCTTTCTAGAATCGACCACAAATAATTAGAAATGTACAAGACTGCTCTAGTCAAATTAGCTTTACAAGTTCCCACTCTGAGGCTCTTCCTTCAGGAACAGTAGCCAACGACAGACTGAAACGTAAGGAGGAGAACATTATGAAGACTGAACCGAACAAACAGTGTGAGGAAGCAGAAGCCGGGTGAGCTGCGTCTTTTGGAAGCAGGTGGCGATGCCCACCCCAAGTTCAGGTCCGGGCCAGTTTGAAGATAGTTGCGAGTCTCAAAGCACACAAAAACCGCCCAAGTGCGGTCTGTGATGATGCTCTCAAACAGACATTCACACTGTAAAAATGATGATTTTCCATTCAGCCATATGCCATCGTGTTCTATCCAAGCCCATTTCAAAGACTTTACTCCATACATTTCTGCGGATACTTCCCACTTAGATTAATAAATAATTAACGGAGTTTAAAATATATATAATGTAATCTTAAGATTTAAAAATCGTACTCACTTTTTCATCACATCAAACATCCTTTTCTCAACATTTACCAGCCACTGTTCCACGGCACTTCTTACTCGAATTTTCCTATATTTTTTTCAAAAATAATTTGCAAGGAATTCTTTTTATTCATGTCTCGTTCCTTTGATAAGACTGTAGACTAAGTCTTCTACACTTATAACATTCACAGGCCAAAAGATCATAAATCTGTCATTTTGTTTATTCTAGATCTTAATTTGGAAATCTACACGGAAAACATTCCACCTAACTTGAGGAAATCCTGACGTCAAACCAGGGGTTTACAAAATTAAGAGTTTCCAGTAAGATGTGAGCTGACAAAGTAGATAAATTACATTACAAAGCGTTTTTGTATTCCTCCCTGGTTCTTTTCAACAGCCGGCCTGGGGCAGGGCTGGGTTAGGGAGGCTGGTGATGGGAGCACATGGGTGTAGCCTTTTTAGTCAGCTCACATCAGGAAGCACACGCCAAAGGCTGGCTGGCAAACTGGACCAGTGTGGCAGCAGGACCTGGCTAACTTGGGGACATTCACAACGGGGCCCGGGGTCGGGGAGGAAGCAGGGGAAGCAACATGAACAACCCCAAGCAAATTGCCAATCTCCTTCCTAAGTTCCTAGAATAAAACCTCGTGGTGGCATTCAGGACGATAGCAACAAATACAGAAATGGAAAGGTAAAATTCTGCATAGCTACGTTAGTTTTGAAGAAATCATTGGCTCAGCAAACTTCCGTGAAATATCAGAAATGTCCAAGCAGATTATTCAATAAAGAAGTTTTACAGACTGGGAATGCTGAGTCTGTAACCTACAAACCGTACTTGGGCAGCAGAAGGCACTCTCCTTCAGCGGATATGAGCATTATGACGGCAGGGGGCCCAATTTCTTGCTTCCACAGCAGTAACCGTTTTATATTTTCAAAACATTTCGCAAGATGAGGCTATGGACCAGAAACGAATGTCAGCAACGCTGAGAAATTCTGACCTGGTTGGGAAATAGCATCGCTGAGCGTGGAATGATGACATTACCTGTAGACACTCTGGATTTCTGCTATTCGCTATGATGTCGAGAAGTTCAGTGTTGCTGAGAAAGTAAAATCTGGGGAAAATCATTCTTTTAGTTTCAAGGTAGTCCTGTCCGGAACCAAAAGAAATGAGAGTTCATAATCTATGATTAATCATGCTAGGACTCACTTCCCCATTCGGGCCTCTGTTTACACGCAAAACCCACAGTATTTAACTTGCAGTGTGCAGACTACCAGTAAAAGGGTGACCCGTGCTCGATCTATGCTTCAATTGCTAAAAACAATTCTTTTTTTTTTTTTTTTTTTAAATGTTTTATTTTATTTTTGGGACAGAGAGAGACAGAGCATGAACGGGGGAGGGGCAGAGAGAGAGGGAGACACAGAATCGGAAACAGGCTCCAGGCTCCGAGCCATCAGCCCAGAGCCCGACGCGGGGCTCGAACTCACGGACCGCGAGATCGTGACCTGGCTGAAGTCGGACGCTTAACCGACTGCGCCACCCAGGCGCCCCTAAAAACAATTCTTAATAAACAAAACCAAAACAAATGAAAATAAAAGCAAAAGTCCCGCAGGTGAACACATGCGCACAGACACCACTCACAAAGCGCTGTGGGCCCCCAGGCCCCACCTTTCTGCTGTTGCCCGACCCTGTGGTCCCGTTGAGGACAAGGTCCCTCTGCCGGTGGCCCCCCTGCTAATGGACTGACAGGGATGCCACTCTCCTGTTTTCTTCATCCCTCCGCCACTCATGACCATTTGCTTCCAGGACTGCTGTGGAGCCCATGCTCCCCAGCCCCTCTCTCCTCCCACTTGCCACTGTACTTCCTGCCCGGCTGGGCACCTGCTCCGTGGCTCCTGTTACTTCCCTGTGTCCCACACCTACGCGTCCAAATGCTGATCGAAGATGTTCATTTGACTGCCCCATAAGAATTAGATTTCCAACATGTACAGAATTCACTTGTTTCCACGCAAGCCTCCTCCCCCTACTCCCTATCCCTGCGGTGTAATCACTTTCCCCTCCCGTGGCCATGACCCTGGGCCTCTGTCCTCTCTCCTCCACACACCCACCTGAAGCTCCCGGTCCACCTTCTTTCATCCTGACCATCGTCCCCCCTCAGTCCCCCCAGGACTTCTAGCCTTGTAACTGGTTTCTGTATACATATTCCCACTGCCCCCGATCTAGACATACTCTGTGCTCCCTTCTACGGACACATTTCTCAAGCAAGTCATTTTACTCCCCCAGTCAAAATCCAATGACATTCAAGGCCCTTCGTCATCTGGTCCTGCTTCCCGGAGAATCTCCCCTTTCCCCTCTTGCCCCTTTGCGACCGAGGCATCCTCTGTACCAACCCACTGACAACTCCCGAACATGCCACACTTGCTCGTGTTCTTCCCCCTGGCCCAGGGTGCTCCTCCCAGCCACCCCCTCCCGGACTCTTTCACCTGGCTAACTCACACACTTCTTCCCAAACCCAGGTGAGTTCTCACTTCTCCCAGGGCAAGGGGTGAATCTCTCTCCTTTCATGTGACCGTACCATCCAACCCATCACAGCATACATCACATGCTAGCATCTCTCTACTCTGGTTCCTATAATAGATCTCGAGTTCTGTAATAGGAGGGGAGGATGTGGGGAGTCCCAGTATGCAGCTGCAGTGCCTGGTATGAAGCAGGTGCTCAATACATGAATAAATGGAAAATCCCCGGTTGGTAATGATGCTTAGTAATAGTCCAAAGATGCGCTAGAAATAATGAGAAGACTTATTTCAGTCCCTACTCGGTAAACTTGCTATTATTAACCAGATCCCTCTGGGAGGGGCCTCAGATCCTGGATTCATATAGCAGAAGGTCTTCCTGGGCAGAGAACTTTCTATAGGCTGAAACTGCCATATGTAGGTATTCTGGAGAGGTCATTCCAACCACTGTGAATTGTGTTCAACAAGGAGAAAGAGATAAAAAACTGGAAAGAGATCTTGGTTTATGAAGTGAATATATTCACCCCGAATCTCAAATATTAAAACCTGATATTTAAAAAATATGTATGTCTAGATGACAATTTAATGTTCTGGCAAAGGTGTTTTTTGTTTTGTTATTTGAGATAGAGAGAGAGAGATGTAGAGAGAACACATGCCAGGGAGGGGGCAGAGGGAGACAGAAAGAATCTTCAGCATATTCCGCACTGAGCATAGAACCTGACGTGGGGCTCGATCTCACAAATTGTGAGATCAGGACCTGAGCCAAAACCAAGATTCAGATGCTTAATCGACTAAGCCACTTAACCTAGGTGCCCCTGGCAATTTAAATATACGGAATCAATAACTTACTTTATAAAATTATCAAACTAGGACTTCTAGGGATGATGGCAGAGTAGGAGGACCCAGGCTTGCCCCACTACCCAGGTACACCTAGGTAACACCCACGTCAGCATATATAACTCAGAAAATGACACAAAGACTGGCAGAACAATCCCCCCCCCCCCCCCCCCCCCGCCCAAATAAATGTAGAGAAGAGGTCACAGTGGGGAAGAGAGGAAGGGCAGAGAGGTGCTGAGGACCTAAATGGACCTAGGAGTCTGTCTGCAGGAGAGAGTGGGTGCAGAGAAGGGAGAGAAACAGAGCCTCTCATGGGGAGCCAGCATGAGAAAAATAAATCCCCATAACATCTGGCTTGGAAAATGAGACAGGTCAAATTTCACAAGTTCTTACAACCAACAGGACTAAAAAATCTAGAATTTTAAAAATCAGTAGCTGTGTTGGAGAGACAGAGATCAGCGAGGGAGTTCTCCAGGAACAAAGTTGCTGCAGGTACCATTTCCCGCCCTTCCCCCCAGCCTAGATATCCTGACACCTCCCGGAACTAACTTGCTAACGGCAACTCCCCTTACTTGGGTGTGTACAGTCCCCCTCCAGCCAGACCTCAGCTCTAGGTCCCCTCCCACAGCACACCTGCACAGACCACGGTAGCACAGTGCTCCCATCCATGTGCATGCTGCGGATCCACCCTGTCTAATACGCTCGTGACCAGATCCCATCGAAGCAGCACCACAAACCTGGCAGTGTGCGAGCAGCCCAGACAGGGGCCACGCCACTCCACAGTGAGTCCCGCCCTTGGGAAAGGGGAGGATAACATACACACCAGTCTGACCGTAGCCCCAGCGGTGGGCTGGGGGCAGACATCGGGTCTGACTGCGGCCTCGCCCACCAATACGAGTTTCTCCGGACCACACAGGGGAAGTGCCCTGCAGTTTGGAGCTACCGCATCTCTAGCAAACTCCTGGTCTGATCCGCCGCGCCCCAGACCAACCCGCTAACCGCACAGGGACGGGACCCTGCCCACAACAGGCAGAGCCACTGCAGACGACTGGATGGAAGGTGAACACAGTTCGGCCACAGTAGGACACCCCTGTAGCAACGCACAGAGGGGACACCCTTGAAGCGCCGTTTTCCGGTGAACAGGGGACACTGCACCGTGGGGCGCTACAGGACCTCGTCTTCCTAAGGCCACTGCTTTAAGTGCGGGAGACGCAGCTGACTTTGCTAACAGAGACACAGACGCAGCAGTAGACAAAATGAGGAGACGGAGGAATAGGTTCCAAATGAAAGAACAGAACAAAATCACATCAAGAGAGCTACATGAAAGAAAGATAAGTAATGTGCCTGACAGAATTTAAAGTAACCATCATAAATGACTGGACTTGAGAAGACAGTGGGGCATCTCAGTGAGACACTCAACAAAGATAGAAATCAGAGACGAAGAAGACAACTGAAGTTAAAAATACACGAGAGAGCATACATAGTAGACTAGAGGAAGCAGAAGAATGGATCAGCTACCTAGAGAACAGAGTAATGGAGAGCAATCAAGCTGAACAGAAAAGAGAAAAAAGAATAATAAAAACTGAGAACAGGTTAAGGGAACTCAGAAACACCAGGAAGCACAGTAACATTCACATTACAGGGATCCCAGAAAGGGAAGGGAGAGAAGGGGGGCAGAAAATTTATTTGAAGAAATAATAGCTGAAAATTTCCCAAATTTGGGGAAGGAAACAGAAATTCAGATCCAGGAGGCACAGAAAACCCTTAACAAACCAACCCACAGAGGTCAACACCAAGACACATAGTAATTAAAAAGGCAAAAAGTAGTGATCAAGACAGAATTTTAAAAGCAGCAAGAGAGAGCACATGGGTGGCTCAGTCAATTAAGTGTCCAACTTCAGCTCAGGTCATGATCTTGCCATTTGTGAGTTCAAGCCCTACGATGGGCTTTGGGCTGTCAGCACAGAACTCACTTCAGATCCTCTATCTCCTTCTCTCTCTGCCCCTCGCCTATATTCTCTCTGTCACTCTCTCAGAAATAAGTAAACATTTATAAAAGCAGCAAGGGAAAAGAAAAACAGTAACATACAAGGGAACCCCCAAAAGGCTATTAGCTGATTTTTCAGCAGAAACTTTGCAGGCCAGAAGGGAGGGGCATGATATAATCAAAGTGCTTAAAGGAAAACACCTGTAGCCAAGAATACTCTATCCAGCGAGGCTATCATTCGGAACAGAAGGAGAGATAAAGAGCTTCCTACACACAAAAAAGTTAAAGGAGTTCATGACCACTAAACCAGCCCTACAAGAAATGATAAAGGGGACTCTGAGTGGAAAGGAAAGACCATAAACAGGAGTAAGAAAAGCAGGAATCACAAAAGCAGTGAAAATAAGTATATACGTAAAAATCTGTCGAGGGATTCACAAAATAAAAGTAAAGTATGTAAAGTATGACACCATATACATAAAATGTGGAGAGGAGTAAAAATTTAGTACTTTACAATGGGCTCAGACTTAAGCGACCATCAACTTAGTATAGATTTCTATATGCATAAGATGTTATGTACACACCCAATGGGAACCACAAATCCCAAACCAGTAATAGATATGCAAAAAATAAAGAGAGAAGAATCTAAGTATATCACTAAACAAAGTCAGCAAACCATGAGAGAAAACAGCAAGAGAAGAAAGGAACAGAGAAGAACTACAAAAACAACCACAAAATGAGTAACAGAATGGCAATAAGTACATACCTGTCAATAATTACTCTGAATGGAAACAGACTAAACGCTCCAATTAAAAGACACAGGGTGACAGAATGGATAAAAAAGCAAGACCCATCTTGCCTGCAAGAGACTCATTTCAGACCTAAAGACACCTACAGATTGAAAGTGAAGGGATAGAAAAGCATATATCAAGAGAGTAAGTGAAAAGAAAGTCAGGGTAGCAATACTTATATTGGACAAAGTAGACACTAGATCGAAGACTGTAACAAGAGACAAAGAAAGACACTATATAATCATAAGGGAAATATTTCAACAAGAAGATAGAACGATTGTAAATATTTATGTACCCAATACGAGGGCACTCAAATACATAAATCAGCTAATAACAAACATTAAGGAAATAATCAACAGTAATACAATGATAGTAGGGGACTTTACCACTCCACTTACATCAATGGATAGATCATCCAAACAGAAAATCAATAAGGAAACAGTGGCTTTGAATGACACATTAGACCACATGAATCTAACATATATTAAGAACATTCGATCCCTGAACAGCAGAATACACATTCTTGTCAACTGCACAGGGAACATTCTCCAGAACAGATCACATGTTAGACCACAAAACAAGTCTCAACAAATTAACAAAATCAAGGTCATGCCATGCTTTTCTGACTGCAATGCTACAAAACTAGAAATCAACCACAAGAAAAGATTTGAAAAGAGCACAAATACGTGGAGGTTAAACACATGCTACTAAACAATGAGTGGGTCAATCAAGAAATCAAAGAGGCAATTAAAAAATACATTGAGATAAATGAAAGGAAAACACTATGGTCCAAAACCTTTGGGATGCAGCAAAAGTGGTTCTAAGAGGGAAGTTTATAGCAATACAGGCCTACCTCAATGAAGAAGAAAAATCTCAAATACCTAACCTTACACCTAACGGAGCTACAAAAAGAAGAACAGGACTCAAAATCAGTAGAAGGAAGGAAATAATAAGGATTGAGCAGAAATAAACAAAACAGAAACTAAAAAAACCACAATAGATCAATGAAAACAAGACCTGGCTCTTTGAAAAGATCAACAAAATTGATAGATCTTTAGCCAGATTCATCCCCCCCCCCAAAAAAAAGAAGACTCAAATAAAATCAGAAATGAAAAAGAAATAACAAATGACAAGACAGAAACACAGAGGATTATACGATTATAAGGGAATATTATGAAAAATTACATACCAACAAATTGGACAACCTAGAAGAAATGGATAAATTCCTAGAAACATATAACCTCCCAAAACTGAATCAGAAAGAAACATAAACTTTGAACAGACTGATTATCAGCAATGAAATTGAATCAGTAATTAAAAGCCTCCCAAAAAACCAAAAGTCCAGGACCAGAAGCTTCACAGGTAAATTCTACCAAACGTTTTTGAAAAAGTTAATACGTATTCTTCTCAAACTATTCCAAAAAATAGACAAGGAAAGAAAGCTTCCAAATTCATTCTATGAGGCCAGCATTACCCTGACACCAAAACCACAGAAAGACACTAGAAAAAGAAAGAGAACTACTGGCCAAACCTCTGATGAACATAGATGTACAAATCCTCAACAAAATACTAGCAAACCGAACCCAACAATACATTAAAATTCATTCATCATGATCAAGTGGAATTTATTCCCAGGATGTTCTCATTACACAGAATGAGAACAAACATTCCTAAAATTTGTATGGAACCACCAAAGACCCTGAAGAGACAAAGTGATCTTGAAAAAGAACAAAGCTGGAGGCATCACAATCCCAGATTTCATGGTACTGACGTAAAAATAGACACATCGATCCATGAAATACAACAGAAAACCCAGAAATAAACCCATAATTATATGGTCAATTAATCTTTGATAAAGCAAGAAAGAATATCCAGTGGGAAAAAAATGGTCTCTTGAACAAATGGTGCTGGGAAAACTGGATAGCTACATGCAAAAGAATGAAACTGGACCACTTTCTCACACCATACACAAAAAGAAATTCAAAATGGATTAAAGACCTAAATGTGAGACATGAAAACATTAAAATCCTAGAGAAGAACACAGACCTCTTTGCCACTGGCCATAGTAACTTCCTTCTGTATGTCTTTTGAGGCAAGGGAAACAAAAGCAAAAATAAACAAGCGAGACCACACCAAAATACAAAGCTTCTGCACAGTAAAGGAAACAATCAACAAAACTAAAAGGCAACCCACAGAATTGGAGAAGGTATTTCCAAATGACATATTTGATAAAGGGCTAGTATCTGGAATATATAAAGAATTTATATATCCTGATACCAAAAAACCCCCAAATAATCGAAATAAAAAATGGGCAGAAGACATGAACAGACATTTCTCCAAAGAAGATATACAGATGGCTACCAGACACATGAAAAGGTGCTCAACACCACTCACCATCAGGGAAATGCAAATCAAAACCACCATGAGATATCACCTCATGCCTGTCAGAGTGGCTAAAATCCAAAACACAAGGAACAACAAATGTGGTGAGGATGTGGAGAAAAAGGGATCCTAGGGCACCGTTGGTGGGAACGTAAACTGGCACAGCCATCATGGAAAACAATATGGGGGTTCCTCAAAAAATTAAAAATAGAACTATCCTATGATCCTGTAATTCCACTACTGGGTATTTAGCCAAAGAATATGAAAACACTAATTCAAAAGGATACATACACCCCAATGTTTATAACAGCACTATCGCCAATAGCCAAATTATGGGAGCAACCCAAGTGTCCACTGAATGATGAATGGATAAAGAAGATGTGGTGTATATACACAACGGAATATTACTCAGCCATAAAAAGGAATGAAATCTTGCCATATGCAATGACATGGATTACTTGTAGAGGGTAAAAGGCTAAGTGAAGTCAGTCAGTCAGAGAAAAACAAATATGATTTGTTTTTACTCATATGATTTTACTCACATGTGTAATTTAAGAAACAACAAATAAACAAAGGGAAAACAAAGAAACAGACACTTAACTCTAGAGAACAAACAGGTAGTTACCAGAGGGTAGGTGGGGGGGGGGATGGGTGAATTCGGTGAAGGGGATTAAAGTACACCTATCACGATGAGCACCGTAGGATACAGGAGTCCTGAATCACTGTAGCGTACACCTGAAACTAGTATTATGCTCCATGTTGACTATACTGGATTTAAGATCAAATTAAAGGGGCGCCTGGGTGGTTCAGTAGATTGAGCATCTGACTCTTGATTTCAGCTCAGGTCATGATCTCATGGTTTGTGAGTCTGAGTCCCAAGTCGGCCTCTGTGCCGATGGCTCAGAGTCTGCTTGGGATTCTCTCTCTTCCTCCCTCTCTGGCCCTCCGCTGCTTGAGCTCTCTATCTCTCTCCTGAAAATAAACTTTAAAAAATATTTTAAAAATTAAAAAAAATAAAACCATCGAACTATTTTCAACTTCAACTTTTGCTGATTTTGTCAATTTGATAACAACAGTAGTGCCAATATAAATAACTGGCACTCATGAAATACTTTCTCTGTGCCAGCTCTTGTGCTGTAAACGCATTACCTTATTTAACACAAAGCCCCTCAAGGTAGGCACCGCCATTATTCCCAACGTGAAGAGAAGGAAACCTAGGCACTGAAAAATTGGTTTTGTCTCAGGCCATTTAGATGGGTCTATCTGCTTTTTTGTTTGACTTGATAGTATTTTCATTAACCCTGTAGTTGGTGAGAGCTGGACATATCGTGGGCAGCTACAGTACAGAAAATCCACGTTGGGATTCATTTCCGTCATGCCCTACATTACATTTCGAAGATACAATCATTCCCCACTTTCGGATTGCCGGTGTTACCTCAAGACTTTTCATTATATGTTCAAGATGCAGATTGCAATTCTGCAGAGTTTCAAGGACCCCTGCAGAAATGGTTATTCGCAAAGCATCCAGCTTGTTCTGTATTTTTGACATGATTTCTCTCCACATGGAGATCACTTGAGAGAAGAGTTTTGCTTCCACAGGGAGTTGCCTTTAGGGAGGGAACAAGAGAGAACGTCATCTGTTTAAAAATGTCGTGACATGTTTTATTTTTTGCTGATCATTACAGATATTTTATAGCGTTTATTATATACAGCGATGCACACGTAGGAAATCTGTGACAAACCAGACATCCATCCGTCATTTAACGGGATTATACTTGGTGTGAGTTCCGAGACAGATAAACACAGTTCTAGTAAAAGTGATTTGTGTCCTAGGATGTAGGAAAGCAAAGGCTACTGCAATTCTAGAGGAAATGCGATCTTAGAGAGCTGCTTCTCCAAGCAGCTGTTTTTGGCACTGGCTTCTCCCAATGTCCCCGAGAGGGCAACATCGCCTGCGGTTGAGAACCGATGGCCCACAGCAGCTAGGTGCTCTCGTGCTTCTGTCCAGGGAAGACGCAGGTCCTCATTTCCGATGCCCCCAACCCCAGGGCAATACCTGTCAAGCTCTTCCACGAGCCCCCCACCACTATCCCATTCCCCATTTGGGGCGATGGGCCTAGAAACTTCTTCAGCTCAGCAAAAATCCTGTCAAGGAGGGGCCTTCACCCTCCCCTCTGTCGGGCACCCTCCCGACTGCAACAGGAGGCTCTGGGGGGACCTCACGGGGAGTTTGGAGAGAGGGGAATGGACTGCATCTTTGTCCCTCACACAGTCTCTGTAAGGAATTCTCCCTGCTAATGAACCTCCCTTCCCCTTCCTCTCTTTCACACCCCCCGCCCCGGAATCAGGGCCCACCATCCTTCTCCACTTCTCAAAGGCAGGGCCATGGCAGACGTGTGTTTCCTTTCCTTTAGCACTGGGGTGCAGGAGTCTTCAGCACCCCTTAATTACATGCCCCCTTTTCTCTCATAGCAAAGCCTGGGAAGAACGACGTGGTGACACTCTGAGCCAGAAGTCGTATCTCTCCACCGATTAAGAAGTCTTTAGTAAAGAGGACTACTGAAGTTTGAATTTAAGGCGCTAAGTTGTAACCACAAAGGACACATTCCCCAGGTATGTGGTTTCCCGTGAGAACTACACAATAACTAGAGCTTGACCCAAGCCCTTTAGAAAGCCGTCCTCCGACAAGAAATATACACGTATTACAAAAATGGATATTGTTCTCTGCAACACAGTACTCAAACCTACACAGTTTTCTTTCGTGAGCCGCTTGAAGCTCTCTCTGCCCCTAAAATAAACTTCGCAATACTTAACCTGATATCCAAGGTCTCCCTTCATCTGCTCTAACACCTTACAAACACGCGCTCTGTGATGCCTACTTATTTCAGAACGGCTCCTATGCTAGCTTGTGTGATTCATGGTCAACACTTTAAATTCTGTCTAGACAACACAGATGTCACAAGTTACGCACTCTTAAGACCGGTGACTTTAAAGAGAGACCAAGTAACCTGAATGCTGTGAATAAAAAGAAAAGGGAGAATTTCCCCCAACTGTCTAGGACCTCCATTCTTTCACCTGGTCCAAAGAAACAAACATACATACAGTCATGTATGTAGACTATTAAAAACATGTGTATTGCTCATATCAACACCACACTAATGTTCTAGAACTAAGTAGACACATGGTATTGTGGTTTAGGGATTACAATGACCTGACATTTCTTACCCAATCCTTAACAGTTTTATATCTAAAATTGAGAAACAGGACTTTTTTAAAGAGCTGATGCTTGCAAACTTTCATGAAAGAAAAAATAATAATTCAGCACAATTTACTCCTGTGCCCGTGGCAGATTATTTTAGAATGTTCATTGAACAAATGACTTCTCAGGGATTACAGGCAATAAACACCCACCATATGTTTTTTTAACCTCTGTACAGCTTTTTTTTTTTTTTTTTACCTTTGTATTTCCACAGAATGAAAGATTGGTTCCAGATAAAGCCAATTTCTTTGACAATTCATCGATTCCTCAAGAGTAGAAGAGAAGAGAGACAAGTTCTGATCCCACTTTTCCACAAGATCCTGTAAGATAAACACACGCATGGTCACAAAACAAGGTGTATAATATGGCTGCATTTATGTAACCATAAATAGTACATATTACATTAATGTTACATAAATGCACTTATATTATACACATTGCTTTCTAACTTTTTTGTGTTTTGTTTTTGTTTTTTTGGCTTTTTTACCTAACAGTGTCTTTTAGAGACGCTTTACATCAGTACTCACACTTTTCTTTTTTTATTTAAAAACATTTTTTTTTAATGTTTATTTACTTTGAGAGAAACAGAGAGAGCGCATGAGCAGAGGAGGGGCAGAGAGAGAGGGAGAAAGTGAGAATCCCAAGCAGGCTCTGAGCTGTCAGTGCAGAGCCTGACGCGGGGCTCGAACTCACAAACCGTGAGATCATGACCCGAGCCGAAATCAAGAGTTGGGGGCTTAACCGACTGAGCCACCCTGGCGCCCCGCATTCTTTTAATTAAATATAATAAGCATTGTGTGGATATTACATCTTTCTCCAGCTAGTATATTTATTAAAGTAAGAGAAAAATGGTTAAAAACCAATTAGTACTAAAATGCTTACAAACCAGGAGACTGGCCCACCCCCTAATGTGGACTCATAAGAGGGACCCACGCATAAGTCATTTACTTTTGCTGTGTATCTCCATGTTTCCTTCTATATCCATTTTATATCTCAATACCTTTATTAAGGTATAACTGACTTCAGTAAATGGTGCATTTTTAAATCGCACAATTTAATGTTTTGACATGTGTGTTTTTTTTAAATATCAAAAATTTCATGGACTAGAAACACTCTGCATTCTTCTGATGGAAAGCATCTGATGAGTTTCACATTTTAAATGTTACTGTGAGCAAACATTACAGTCAGGTTGGCAAGTGAAGCTCCATTGAGTACAATGGCTTCTTGTTTACATTTCAAAGTTCTTTTATAGTTGACTTCTGATTTTTAAAATTTATTTAAAACTAAATTCATTTAATTCATTTATGGTCATTGCAAAACTGAGACACAAAAAGAAAGAAAACGTAATTTAAAAAATTTCAAAATCCTAACACCCAGAGACAGCTCCTGATATTTCCTCCCATTTTTCTTTAGTTTATTATATTTTTAAAAATTGTAAAAGTAGCACATCATCTTCATATGATGGAAATAGTACTAAGGTATATTAAGAAAAAGCTTATAATCTTCTCTTTCACACATTGCTGAGGTAACCATTATTAGTAGTTTGCTATCAATCATTTGGTGCTTTCCTCTACACTCAAACAAATATAGACAAAAGATAGATAACTTTAGATTTTAAAAAAAAAATTTTTTTTTAACGTTTATTTATTTTTGAGACAGAGAGAGACAGAGCATGAACAGGGGAGGAACAGAGAGAGAGGGAGACACAGAATCGGAAACAGGCTCCAGACTCTGAGCTGTCAGCACAGAGCCCGACGCGGGGCTCGAACTCACAGACCGTGACATCGTGACCTGAGCTGAAGTCAGATGCTTAACCGACCGAGCCACCCAGGCGCCCCACTTTAGATTTTTTTAAAACAAATATTGAATTGTACTATATGCATTGTTCTACAATTGTATTTTTGATATTATAGTTACATTTAAATATGTTAATATACGGACCTGTGCATATATCTAAATCATTCTTTTTTTTTAATTTTCTTTTTTATTTTTTTAAATTTATATCCAAGTTAGTATATCGTGCAACGATTTCAGGAGTAGATTCCTTAGTGCCCCTCCCCCAACCCCTCCCATAACCCTCAGTTTGTTCTCCATATTTATGAGTCTCTTCTGTTTTGTCCCCCTCCCTGTTTTTATATTTTTGTTTCCCTTCCCTTACATTCACCTGTTTTGTCTCTTAAAATCCTCATATAAAGGAAGCCATATGATTTTTGTCTTTCTTTAATTTCGCTTAGCATAATACCCCCCAGTTCCATCCACGTAGTTGCAAATGGCGAGATTTCATTCTTTTTGATCACCAAGTAATACTCCATTGTATATATATATACCACATCTTTATCCATTCATCCATCAATGGCCATTTGGGCTCTTTCCACACTTTGGCTATTGTTGACAGTGCTGCTATAAACATGGGGGTGCATGTGTCCCTTCGAAACAGCACACCTGTATCCCTTGGATAAATGCCTAGTAATGCAATTGCTGGGTCGTTGGGTAGTTCGATTTTCAGTTTTTTGAGGAACCTCCATACTGTTTTCCAGAGTGGCTGCACCAGCTTGCATTCCCACCAGCAGTGCAGAAGAGATCCTCTTTCTCCGCATCCTCACCAACATCTGTTGTTGCCTGAGTTGTTCATGTTAGCCATTCTGACAGGTGTGAGGTGGTATCTCATTGTGGTTTTGATTTGTATTTCGCTGATGATGAGTACTGTTGTGCATTTTTTCATGTGTCGGTTGGCCATCTGGATGTCTTCTTTGGAGAAGTGTCTATTCATGTCTTTTGCCCATTTCTTCACTGGATTATTTGGTTTTTGGGGGTTGAGTTTGGTAAGTAATTTATAGATTGTGGGTACTAACCCTTTATCTGATATGTCATTTGCAAATACCTTCTCCCATTCTGTCAGTTGCCTTTTAGTTTTGCTGGTTGTTTCTTTCGCCGTGCGGAAGATTTTATTTTGACGAGGTCCCAGTAGTTCACTTTTGCTTTTGTCTCCCTTGCCTCCGGAGACATGTTGAGTAAGAAGTTGCAGCGGTGACATGTGTTTCTAACTGTGAAGCAGTCACCTCACGATAAGGAACATACCCTGACCTTGGAAAGGTTTCCTGTGCCCTGCTGTGATTCCTTCCCCTACACCAGCCTATTCCCATCCCTAAACAAGCTCAGATTGACTTTCTGAAACTACACCCTAGTTTATGTTTTCTAGAATTTTATATAAATGAAACCATATGATAGGTATTCTTTCTGGTCTGACTTCTTTCACTCAGCATAATTATTTTGAGATTCGCTCATGTTGTTGCATAGATCAGTACTGCATTTCTTTTTCACTGCCGAGTAGTATTCCATGGTATAGATATACGACAATGTGTGTATCATCCACCAAGCGTCCACCCAGGTTGCGTCTGTTTTTCACTAATACAAATAAAGCTGCCGTGAATATTCAGGTGTAAGTCTTTGTACGGACACAAAGCTTCCTTCCTTTTGGGTAAATACCTAGGAGTGGAATGGCTGCATCACGTGGTGGGTCCATTTTTTAACTTTTAAAGAAACCTTTCAAGTGATTATAACATTTTACCTGTTACACGGCAGTGTACGAGAGTTCCCACCAACACTTGGGGTGATCAGTCTTTTTTGTTTTAGTCATTCCATAAGACGTTCAGTGGTGCCTCACTGGGAATCCAACTTTTCCCCAATGAGCAGTGAAGTTAACATCTTTTCACATGTTTATTTTCCCTCCAAATATTTTCTTTGGTGAAGTATCCACTTAAATCTTTTGCCCATTTCTGGTTTTTTTTTTTTTTTTTTGAGAATTCTTTACATATTCTTGAAAGAAGTCCTTTACCAAACATAGGCTTTGCAAATATTTCATTCCAGTCCTGGCTTATATATATTTTTGCCCTAACAGTGTCTTTTGAGGAGCACAAATTTTTAATTTTGATGAAATCCAGTTGATAGATTTTTCCTTCTATTGATCAGTCTTTGGGTGTCATGCTGAAGAAAAGTGCCTAGCCTGAGGTCACAAAAATTTTGTTTTCTTCTCAAGATTTCAAAATTTCTTCTGATCTTTTAGGTTTATGATCTGCTTCTGAGTTAAAGTTTACATGTGCTACAAGATATGGCTTGAGGGGATGTTAAAAATTTGTTTTGCATATAACTGTTAGCTTTGTCAGCACCATTTCTAAAAAGACTTCTTTCTGGAAATGTCTTTACACTTTTGTTGAAAATCAGGTGCCTGTGTGTGTGTATGCACGCATAATTTTTTTGTAATCTCTATTCTTTTTTTTAGGTTTATTTGATAGTGACACAGAGTGCAAGCAGAGGATGGACAGAGAGAGAGGGAGAGAGACTGAGACAGGCAGAGAGAGAGAGGGAGAAAGAGAATCCCAAGCAGGCTCCGCACTGTCAGGGCAGAGCCTGAGTGGGTCTTGAACCCACAAACCGTGAGATCATGACCTGGGCTGAAATCAAGTGTTGGATTCTTAACCGACTGAGCCCCACCACCACCACCCCAGTGCTCCTGTAATCCCTATTCTGTTCCATTTGTTTATCTTTATGCCAATACAAAGAACTGTTTTGATTAGCTTTACAAGAAGTCTTAGTATCAGGTAGTGTTGATGGTCTAACTTTGTTCTTCTTTTTAAAACTTTAAAGTCACTCATCTTCTTTCCTGTAAAGTCTGATCTGCGGTCAATCTCCCCCAGTGTGCATTTCACCTTCTGACCTGCAGTCAATTCCCTCCCTCCCCTCCCCCCCCAGGGTGTGTATTTCACCTAAGGTATTACAGTTTTTATCCGCACAAGTTTGACTTTGGTCTCCACATTTGTATCTGGTGTATATGGTCTTCCACAATCTACTTGTTTCACCGTCCTCGTCTCCAATTCAGACTGCTGCATCAGTTCAGGATCCGTTTCCATCAGTAAATTTTTTTCATTATGAATTCTATTTTCTTACTTTTTAAAATGTCTGATAATTTTTGGTTGGATTCGAGACACGGTGATTTTATCATGTGGGTACTGGATACTTTTCCTATAAATATTCCTATAAATATTTTCCTAAGAATATTCCTGAGCTTTGTTCCGAGTGCTGTTAAATTGCTTAGAACCGGTTTCATCATCACGGGTTTTGCTGTTAAGGTGTGTTAGAGCAGCGTTTAACATAAGGCTAACTGCTGTGCCCTTCAAGCGCTCCATCGACCGCTCACGGAATGCGGCTGGTGGACACGGGCACTGCTCCCAGCCCAGTGTGAGTGGTCCCCTCACCCTGACACGTGGTCTTTTCCCGGGTGCCCAGGAGTTTCCTGGAGTTCACGTGCCAGCATCAGTACTTCCACGGGCCCTTAGAGCTGTGCCCCCCTGGTCCTGCAGCCTGCAGGCTCCGGCCGACTTTCAGCAGCACCTCCTCTTTCCAGGCTCTGGCCGGGTCACCCTGCTCACCCCCACGCAAGGCCTGCAAACTCAGGTGGGGGCCACCTCGGCTCTTCTCGCTTGTTTCCCCTCTCTGTGGGGTCCTGTCGTTCGATGCCTGATGTCGCACCCTGGAAGCACAGTCTGTCTCTTTTCTTCTGTTCTGCTGTGGGTACGTCAGGCGCAAGGTGAATCTGGTCCCTCACCTGGAAGCGGAAGTCAGTGTGCACGCATGTGCGTGCACGCAGGTGTACATGTATGTGCATGTGCAGGTGTGTGTGCACGTGTGTGTGCGCGCGGGTGTGTGTGCACACAGGCGTGCTGTTGTTCAGCTTCAGTACGCCCCATGTATCATTCACTACGTTCATTTTACTTTTTATTTATTTCTTTTTAATTATTATGTTCATTTATTTTTGAGAGAGAGAGAGAGGCAGAGTGTGAGTAGGGGAAGGGCAGAGAGAGAGGGAGACACAGAATAGAATCCGAAGCAGGCTCCAGGCTCTGAGCTGTCAGCAAAGAGCCCAACACGGGGCTCGAACTCACAAACCGTGAGATCATGACCTGAGCTCAAGTTGGACGCCTAACCAACTGAGCCACCCAGGCACCCCTTCATTTTACTTTTTAATGAAAGCACCAGGTGCTCTAAATACTCCTTTTCACGGAGCTCTAAGCCAATTGTGACAAGGTTTGATTTAGAATTCTTTCTGCTTTTTCTAATTTTAAAATATTTTAGTACATTTCCTATATATTCTTATGGATGCTTTTAAATTAGTTTTTTGTGATAGCTTTGCTGCTGTTGTTGTCTATTTTTTGTTGTTTCTCTGTTCATTTTTTATTTTAATGTCTGTGGTTGGAGAATATGGTTTATATGGTTTATCCCTTTTTTGCAATTTATTGAGTTTTTTTTCCCCTCTAAGGTTCAATTAACTGACATCTTCCCTAAATGCTAGTGTGTTTGCAAATAATATGAACTCCATTTGATGGGTACACATTTCTCTCTGTCACACTACCTATAATCAATTATGGTACCTTTACTATTAAGGACGTTCATATTATTACATACCTTGTTGAGTTTCCTTAATTCTTTAAGTGATTCTTGGCCACGTTAGCGGATGTGGGGCTGTGCAGAGAGGGACTATCAGGACCACTGAACCTGAGCTGACCCGATGTTTCAATTCCTAATCATGATGCGTTCTAGCAAACGGCAGGGACACACACAGGTGTGGACACACAGGACTCATCTTAAGAGCAACCGCACAGGAAACAGAAATGAAGCGACTGCGTCAGCAAGCAGAGTCTGCAGGCAGTGGAATTGGCGTGGGCCCCGCCAGAACCACGGATGTTTCCAGTAGCAGTGGCACTGCTGGTAAGTCCTGGCTTACGGGGTCCTATTTTTGTATGATTTAAACTTATTTTATTTGCCCAAACTGAAGTTTATGACAACTCTTCATGAACAGTTAATGTTTCCCAAAAAAGTTATTTCTAGTATTCAAAATACTAAATAATCTCATTTCTATATGGGTATATACATGATTTACACAATTCAAAAGGTTGTGAAATGCACAAAATTAAAGTGATAAATAAAACTATAAACAATGACAGTATTTTCCCTTTGCCATAATATTTACCTTAAAGGGCCCGAGAGAGGAAGACCCTTTAACTGTTGCCAGTGTGATCTGAGACTCTTCCAGCTGAGTGAGTATGTCGTCTATGGACGAAATGATCAGGATGGAGTACGTCTCGGAGTGATGCACAACCAAGTGTAACGGGGTCGTGTTCCACAGATCAATAATCTTAAACAGCGTCTTCTCAAGGATAGCCTCCTTAGTGGCGGAGATTGAGATTTCGTTTATTTCGTGTTGGTGCTGAAACATCTGAAATGAAACATCATTCTTTAATATTTAGCGGATGAAGGATTCCTGATGCGCTTACGATGCGGGACTTCCGTGAGCGTGCCCCTCCCGGCCTGACCCTCAGGACAAAGCCCTTCCTAACCATTTCCCATTTCCCACTCTGAGCTCTCAGTGAAGTTTCTAGTCATCGTGTACTTCCTCTAATTGCAGCCCGCGAGAAGGTCAGTGGACACCACCTTCGGTACCCGTGCAGATGGACCTACCCCCTTCAGCTCTCCCTTCTCTGCACTAACGCCGACGGCTTCACCCCTCCGCGACACACTCTTACTTCTGACAGTAACTCTCGTGATACGACGATCTGAGAGAACGGAATCCGAAAGACCCAGCTTTCCCTGGCTTCCCTTCCCTTCCTTATCTCCGTGAGGATAAGTGGCTCGAGCATACATTGGTGGATGGAGCATACGCGTAGGCCTTCTTTCCAGTCCCCACAGACAAGATCCTGATACAAGATCTCACAATCACTGCCACAGAGATACTGGGAGAGGTTTGCACTTCCACATCGGAGAATTAACTCACGGGCTAACTGCTCTTATCCCTCAAAGGATCTCCCGCTGGTCCCACATGTCATCTCCATGGGGTTGAAGAGTGATGCCTGAACCTGTGTTTTGGTAAAACACGACCAGTGTTCATCACCTACCAGAGACGGGCATCACGGTGATGAAATCAGCTGAACGCTTATGGCCTAAACAGAGAGTTTGAGAAGGACGTGTGCCTCTGGATGCAGATTATTCAGCCAAAGGCAGATAGGCAACCATAGGACCATCAAGCTTCTGTGCTGAACAAAGAACCTTGTACGTCACACTGACATTCTGAAATTGCTAATAATCAACTCCAAACACTGAGAACGTGTAGGGCAAAATCTCAACGAAGTGTACGTATAGCCCTTTCAACGCCTTATGGTCTGAGTCTGGGACCTGACTGACCAATGGTCGGATCTCCCAAGTAACTTGGTAATATCTAGGAGGCTTCAGATGAGTCTTAGGCCTATCGTTGATTATCTGCCTCTGTGATAAAGCACACGGTTTCTAAAGTGAAAAAGATCAACCACGAAGTGACTGTGTTCGTTTTATGGAAACTATCGAGCTCTTCCTCTGAATTTACATTGTGACACGTCACACGTTTTTCAGAGACTACATAACATGTTGGACAGAAACTGCTGTCATATAACGTCATCATCTATCCACCCGGTAGGACCACAAGTGGTCTCCTGTCACGGGCTGTCCTGAGCAGTCTTGCAGCATGACCGCCGTCCGTCTCTGGGTCAACTACGTGATACGCATCCTGTAGGAAATGAAGGCTGGGTCCCTAGGCCCAATCCTGTCCATCTAGGTACCCATGTTCTACTACGTAAGTTGGTGAACAGAAACAGGATGATCCAAATCTTCCAGGAACTCTTGGAGTTCAGTTAAGATGAGCAGCTGATGGCCTGCTCTCCCCTCTGACCACTGCAACGATCAACCTCGGGAAGAGAGGATTCCTCTGACTCCTGCCGACAGCGTTGCAGAGGCTGAAGACCTTGTTCACTTTTGTTCAGATGTTGCATTAACTGTCTTAATTTGGATCCTTCGAAAACTGCATGAGAATCCCTTTTTAAACTATCTATTCACATTAGAAATACAGGGATAGCACGCTGGAACCCTTTCAGGTTCTGGAGCCACCAGCCCACCAGCTGATCCCCTCGAGGCCCATCTGCCCTCACTTTTAGTGCTTGCTGCTAGACTGCCAAATGTCACCCTTTACGTGACTTGCCCAGGGATGATGACTCCCATAGCCCAAGACTTTGTAAAGGAAAATGTCATTGCAGTTGTGCTATGTTTCTGGAATGCTGTTTTGGATACACCTAGCCGATGATGTTGACATACATGCTCTTAAATTATCTAGACATTTTGCTGAATTCACCGCTGGCACACAGATCAGTTAGGAGGCCTGATGATGACCCAGGACAGGGTAAGAGATTTAGACGGGATGAGGATAGAGAGAGCAAAAGAAGACTGAAAGGTTAGTTCATCACTTTCAGCCTAAGCAACTGGAAAACAATGGAGGCGCCATGTGCTGAGATGGGGAAGGGAAGGAAGAGTGGGGTCTGGGAGACGGAGAACGATACCTGGGAGATCTCTGAGACCAGTAAGTGCACCTACTAAATAGGGAAGCGGATACGTGAGTTCAGGGGGAAAACCAAGGTCAGGGCAAGACAGATGCAGTAATCTAATTTTAAAGATCACCTAAAGGTGTCTTTTAAAATTCTTCTTTTTAAATTCCTTAAACTATCCCCCCCCCCATTTCCTCATTTCAACAGATCATTTAGTAGAAAATTATAAAATACTATTTTAAATGACAACAGATGCTGTTAATCACAAAGCCTGAAATAAAAATGAAGCTTACTGTAAACTAGTTATGAAAACAGAAAAAATTGTAACCATATAAATCACGGATTCTATTTTTATAACAAAACCTAGATAGCAAAGCAAATAGCTCCTAATTGTGTATTTTAAGTATCATATCAAGTTACCGGCAGAGCCATCCCAACACGCTCTTCATTTTACGTGAAACGGAATACAGCAGCTTGATGTTTCTGTCCCTAGAAGGTGTGCTCTCTGTGAGAAGTAGCCCCGCTACAAAATAAAACACTAATCTCATCTGTCACACAGGCAAACCACTGCCGCTGCTCTCGAATCACCGGGATCACGGTGCACGGAACGGCGTACCCCGCACCTGCAGCTACACGTAGTTTCTGACCACCTGTCCCCTGCCAGCCTTACTCCCATTTGCACGGACGGTCGACCAACGTCTCCCTTTTCTAATTCCTATTCCTTGCAGATTTACTCACTTGCTTAAAAAATTGGCCCCTCTGGTATTTCAACCTATTTTTGTTTTCAAATAATTTTTGTTTACCTTGAGAGCTAGAAGATTCTCTACTGTGCAGTTCTTATCAAGAGAAACTGACTTTCCAATAATCTGGAGAGCATCCCAGTGCCTTGGCTTCAGACAGGGGTTTCCCAGAGCTATGATAGTAGGCAGCCCTTGTTTAAATTCTGTCACTGATTGCTTAAGATGGGTCACCAGGTCGTTTTTAGGTAAACCTGCAAATAACAACCAAACCAATCATACTTTTTAAACCAGAAAACAAGTTTGCTATTTAACATAATTCTAGTTTTGCAGTTATTAGGCTGTACTAAAATAGTGAGTTTTATTAACATCACCCTCCCAGAGGAATCAACTGTGGATTAAAACGAAGAGCAACAGGGGCGGCCTGGGTGGCTCAGTCGGTTAAGCATCAACTGCGGCTCTGGTCATGATCTCACGGTTCGTGAGTTCGAGGCCCGCGTCGGGCTCTGTGCTGACAGCTCGGAGCCTGGAGCCCGCTTCGGGTTCCGTGTCTCCCTCTCTCTCTGCCCCTCCCCCAGTCATGCTCTGTCTCTCTCAAGAATGAATAAACATTAAAAAAAAATTAAAAGAAAAAACAAAGAGGAACAGTTATCAGAACTGATGATTAAAACCCGAGACCAGCAAAGCCAAGTTTTCTTGGCAAATCTGACGCCAGGGCTAGCCAGCTACCACAAAGTTTCCCAGATTTTTACTGACTAGATATACAGACTAGTACACATATACACATTCAAAAGACTGTTACAGGTTTGGGGCTTTTACATTCTGCTCAGTAAGGAGGACCGTCAAAGGGCGGGGGTCCCTCACTAGCATTTCATAAAGAACATATTTAACACTGCAACACAGGCATGTAGGTCAAAGTTCTGCCACAGACCAGGGCCAGTCTGTCCTCTGGCCCTGGCAAACCTTGCCAGACGGGACTCAAAACCTCTGCCGCTGAAGGTTCAAACCTCCTAAAAGAAAAAGACAGGAGACAGAGGCCTAGCCAAAGATGGGGACTCAGAAAACCCAAAAACTACACCTATATGCTTGAATATCCAATCTGTCCAGATGGGGCTTCTTTCATAAAGCCATGCTGAATGATAAAATGTTTCTAGAGACCTAAAGGAAAAGAGAATAGCTTTGGCTTCTCTAAGGCTACATTTTGGAAAAGAGCAAGATTTTTCTGGGAAACTGTGGATAAGAGAAGCAGTGTCTATTTGCTACTTCACACACCGTTCGCTGGGGCAGAGACGGGACAAGGCGCCGGGAGAGAATTCGCAGAATGAGCGTCACGTCCCAGCAGTGACACTACGGATGATCTGTCCCCGGCTTTCCTCTTTTCTAAATGTTTCGTGATATTGTTATTATTTCTCGTAGAATTCAAACCCGAGCAAGGTCAAGTATTTTTCTGGCGAGGAGGTTGCAGTCTGCAGCGTCCTGAGGGTAAGGGAGGAGCATCAAGAGCGAAGGTGCTCCCTTGCCAGGCGGGTGAGACACTCGCCTTGCGGAGAGGACAGGTCTCACAGAATCGCTGGAACAGGAACATCAGTGTCGGCAAGATTTCAAATTCGAGGATTCGCAGAAGGGAAACCTCTCAAAGGGACTTTTTAGCTATTTCTCCCACTGGCCAAGGGAAGCTGTGGGCGAAAACGGTGAGCATCTGGGTGAACCCTCCGCGTATGGGTGGGCCTCTGTCATCAAAGCCACGATCGTGGTGAAGCGTCTGCGGTCTGGCCTAGGGAAATGGCTTCTAAAGAATACACAAAATTGTTATTACTCAAAAAAAATTTTTTTCCCACCAAATTTTAATCTTTCTCTTCTTCAGGAAACGATTCTGGCCCCTACACTCCTGTGCTGCCTCTCCAGCCACTAATGGCCAGGCCTTGGGAATAGGCAAAGCGGTTAAGGTCAAGAACAGTGATCTTCCTGACCCAGAGGCCATGCGGTGTGCATAATTCTAGGTGGGAAAGCTTGAAATAGATGCCGTTACCTTTCTCTAGCACGGAGATCACATGCATCCATCTTGAAACGTTTCTCTGCATGGATTCTGTGTCGACACTGTGGAGAGGTCTGTTCCTCCACTCCCTAAGGAGCGTTCTCCATTCCTCCTGTGCAGCCCACAGTGTCTTCCTCAAGGTCAGGTCATACTCGATGTCGGCGATCTCCGCACGGACGATCTGCGCCACATCCTCCATGTTCAGGGAGTGCATGTGGGACTCGGCGTCGTCAAAGCAGTGCTGGAATTTGGAGTAGGTTCTAGCTTTGTGAGCCAGACCTGCGGCTTCCTCCGTGAGTGTCTGCATCATCTCCATGGCGCTGGCCACACCAGTCTCGGCACAGAGCAGAACAGGAGTTCTGATCTGAAACACGGCAGGAAGACATTCTAAGAGATCATACCGTTCAGGACCCCAACATGTTTTACTGACAGCAGGTTAGCATGTGACCTAAGCTTTAATAAACAGTCAGCATCTGCAAGGACTGTCCTTAATTTATAATTGTTTGTGTCTATCAGGAGGACTTTTAATTATTATTACCATCGTAGCAATAATTTGTCGTGTTTCTTCCCTCTCTCGGGCACCGTGGAACTTTAAGTAACACATTACCTTACTTACTAAATCCGGACAACAATCCTGAGAGGAGTTAATATTTTTCGCAATTTTTCAGGGAACTTCTAGTTATCAATAATTGTCCCATCGTCAAATGGTAAGTGGCAGTTTCAGGGTATGGCTGGCTCCTGAAGTCATTTCCTTTTTCTGATTCTGTTTAACTTTGTACAATTTTTTGTTTTAAGATGTTATTTTTTTAGGGGCACCCGGGTGGCTCAGTCAGTTGGGGATCCAACTTCGGCTCAGGTCATGATCTCACAGTTCGTGAGTTTGAGCCCCTCATTGGGCTCTGCGCTGACAGCTCAGAGCTTAGAGCCTGCTTCGCATTCTGTGTCCCCCTCTCTCTCTGTCCCTCTCCGCTCTCTCTCAAAAATACACATTACAAAAAATTTAAAAAGATTTTATTTTTTTTTAAGTAATCTCTACACCCAATGCGGGGCCTGAACTCACGACCCAACTGAGATGGCCAGGCACCCCGTAACTCTGTAACTTTGTACTATTTTCAGGGCGCTTGTCACACGCTGCCTTGTATTTGGGTTTGACTACCTCACATGAAATTGTGGGCATTTGCAACACTGACCTCCAAACAAAGATAGAAGTTAAGGTCTTCCCTGATTTATTATTAAATTATCACCTTCTCAAGATGGACAGTTTCATCCACTTATTTCTGAACACCTCATGGAACCTCGTACAGAAAATGTAGAATGGAATTGTGTGTGACGTTGTGTTATATGCAGTGTGGTCACCCAGTAAACGTTGAGAACAATCATAACGTAATACGCTGTATAAAACTACTAAACGGTATTGGTGATAATGGATAGAGCTTAATATGTACTCTGTAAGAGGGATGCCCGTGTCATGCGTATATAATAAAGTTTTCCTTAGGCGTCTCCCATACTTTTCCATTTGTGAACATTCATCTGTGTTTGTCAATGAGGAACCCCCGGGAGAGGCAGCTGGAGAAAGGGTCTTCCTGGCCCACAGGCGGTCGGTTTCCGCAGCCCCGTCTGCTGCCTTTTCCAACTGAGATCTTCACAGAGGGACCTCAGCCCTCAGGTACGTAAATCGTGTGAAACGTTACAGTTCAGGTCAGAAGGCGGTAAGGAGGCCCCACCCCGAGTGTCTGGTGGAGACAGGTTGGTACCTGCTCAGCTCAGCTCTGCTCACTGGTGCACACGACCTGCAACACAGGCCCCGGTCTCGGTCGGGTGTCCCACCTTGCACACTTTAACAAATGTGAATTGTGTAAACCGGACACTTGTGTAAGGGCCTGTGACTTTCGAGTACTGTTTATTTAAAATAAGTGCACAGGGGAAGGGACAGAGAAAGAGAGAGAGAATCGCAAGCGGGCTCCACACTGTCAGCCCAGAGCCCGATGCGGGGCTCCAACTCACGAGCCCGGAGATCAGGACCCGAGCCAAAGTTAAAGTCAGTCGCCCACCTGAGCCCCCAAGAGCCCCTCAGTCATATCTGAAAGACCGTAGGTGGGATGTGTGCACCAAGCACCTTCGTGAGGAATGTGTTTCACCTTCCTGTGTCTGTGTGAAACAGTACAGATCGCCCGTGTCGGTGGAGACACTGAACAGGCATAATCTCACTGAATGACACTGTGCCCGAGGCACGGTCAGTATGGGACTCACAACTTGGGGTGGTGCTGAGGGCAGAGGGGTGCACACAAGCACGGTCTCTGGAGCCTGGCTCGGACTTGCTGTGTGACCTTCAGCAAGTTACTAGACCTCCTTAAATCTCACTGTTATTTGCAGGCAGGTACAGGCGTAAAGCACGCGGCACACAGCACCTCTGACACTCGGGGAGGGTGTTTATCGTACGCTTTGCTCCTCTGAAGTGACTCAAGTTGTAGCGCTCGTTACTGCCGGCCTGGAATGAGGCCCAGAGAGACTTCACGGGTCTAGCCCTTTGGGCCAGGGGCCTCGTGTGGCAGAACGATGAATCCTACGGAAAAAGTCACCACTGTGCTGTTGTTCGTGGTCTGCATGCGTTCATCACCGAAGACAATGCTAAATGTCAGTTACAGGTTCGTGAAAACAGACATGCAATTTTTCCTCCCGTTGAGGTTCACAAGTCACCAACGTGCTGTCTGCGGAGTCTAGGTGAGGAATACTTGGATTAAATTATTTACCTAAGATTCTGCAGGCAGCAAGTGCCGCTATGCTTATTAGGTCTACGGGAAACTAAGAATCAGCTGATTTTTGATGAAAAACACACACTGACCTTGGCCTTCAAGTTGCTGACGTCAACTCGCAGACCCGTGATGTGAGCTTCCAGATTGTCTCTGAATTTAGCAATAGCGGCGTCTTTATTCATCTCCCTTAACTTCATGGAGGTTTTTAGCTGCCCAAACTTGACGAGAAGAATTTTATAGATGGCAATTTGCTCTCCTGAAATCTGGACCTGGTAATACCTTACAACAGAATGCAGCTGAGCAACGACGGAGTGTTCTTTCTCTAACACAGACAATTTTGAGGAAATCCCCTCCAAAAAAGCAAAATGTTCCACAAATTCTTCAATTTCAGTGGGATCGCACTCCATCTTCCTCAGTGAGGTCTCCACAACCTGGATCATTAACACGTCAATTGTCATTACAGAAGGATTGTTCACGGTTTTAGAAGACGGATTACTCTTTTAGCATCTGTCACTACCTTACAGAATTATAATTTCACAAGAAAACGAAGACATCATCCAGACATCATTCTAGATAGTGTTTAAACACTGGAGCGTGAACACGCTCAAATCCTTTCTATTGTTAATAGAGGGAACGTGAGGGTACCTGCATATAAAATAAACGCTAAGATATAAAGGAAGTAATGTTGTGAATAATTCTGTCCCTAAGAAATGAACGCAACAACGATGGGAAGGGTTTGGCCACCACGGGATAACGCGGAATTGCTACCACGTTTGGAGCGTGTACATTCCAGCTCTATATATACGTGATCCCGCTTTGCTCTGATCACGTGTTGGTTCATTCGGTGTTGTCTTCTCCAGTTTATGCAGGAGGAAATGAGTCTCAGAGGGATTCAATTTTGACCTCACTACAGGCAAAGGTGTAGTGAGTTACAGAGCTATGATTCACCCAAACACGATTCCAAATCCTATTTTTATCCGTTGTAAGTATTCATTATAATTATATGCATAACATCAATACTTCTCCTAAGTGTATTTATATCATTCCGTGAAACTTTCAAAATAATTGCATTTCTATACTCACATTACAATTTTTATTTTTGTCTCCTACTTCCAGGCTCTTAATGAATACTCATGCGTGATTTTGGAAGCAATGTCATTTCCATTTTCAATCTCACAGGCTTGAATTAATTGACTGTATGTGTCTAATTTTTCAAGCACTATATTCTCTTTGATCGTCAAATAGATGTTCGTACAAAACACGCAATACAAAAAAGCTTTTAAAAGAGAAAATCCCTATTACGCCATCACTCAGAGGTCACCACTGTTAACCCACCAGCACTTCACATGAACAGGCTTTACAGAGAGGCTTGTGTCTGAATCCCAGCTCCAGCACTTCCTAACTGTGTGACCCTGGGCAAGTAGCTTTACCTTAATAAACTTGGAGTCTTCATCTATAGTTTTGAGGATAAAACTTCCACATTTGACTGAAAATGTTCAAAACAAAAGACCGAGTAAACGCAGCTATCCTGACTGTACCCACAAATCCCATTTAAAGGCCAGAGAGGGGCGCCTGGGTGGCGCAGTCGGTTAAGCGTCCGACTTCAGCCAGGTCACGATCTCGCGGTCCGTGAGTTCGAGCCCCACGTCAGGCTCTGGGCTGATGGCTCAGAGCCTGGAGCCTGTTTCCGATTCTGTGTCTCCCTCTCTCTCTGCCCCTCCCCCGTTCATGCTCTGTCTCTCTCTGTCCCAAAAATAAATAAACGTTGAAAAAAAAAATTTTTATAAAGGCCAGAGAAAAGAAACATTTTAAAATGCAGATTTGTATCACAAAGAAAACAGATAATTCCAATTTTGCGCAAGAGAGGGCAGGAAAAGGTGAAATATACCTAAACTTCCTTCATGTCACTAGTAGGACACTGATATCAAAGACCGATAAGGATGGTAAAGGAAAGTCACAGACAAATTTCACTTACGGGAATAGATGCAAAAGTCCTAAAAACGATGCCTGTAGGGGAGCCTGGGTGGCTCAGTCAGTTGAGTGTCCGACTTCAGCTCAGGTCATGATCTCACAGTTTGTGAGTTCAAGCCCCACGTTGGGCTGCAGCCTGGAGCCTGCTTCAGATTCTCTGTCTCCCTCTCTCTCTGCCCCTGCCCCACTCGCGCTCGGTCTCCCTCTCCTTCAAAAGTAAATAAACATCTAAAAAATTTTAAAAAATATAAAGTTCGTGTACGTGCACGTGCACGCTGGCCGCTAAGGCAGTCTGGAGGCAAGAGCGACCTAAGAAAGTCAATTAATGCAACAACCACATTAAAGGCTTAAAGAAAAAACCCTGCATGATTATGTCAATAGATGCAGAATAAGCATTTGATAAAATTCATTTCTGATAAAAATTACTCGTGTCAGATTAGTAACTCTCATCCAGATAGGGGAACTGCTTTAACCACATCAAAGGAAGCTACCCGAAGCCTCAGGAAATAAATAATAAATAAAAACACACCAGGGAGCATGCAGGAGCCAGAGAGAGGATGAACAGAGAGGACTTTCAGAACAGGTTCCTAAACCAATTACAACTCAGAGAGTTTTCTGGAACAAAAAACCCTGATTCTTCCAGCCGCAGAGATGCGGTTTGCGGAGGCTCACGTGTGTCTTAGGGTTGTGTGCCGGAAGCGTTTGAGAGCTTTATGATCGGTACCTGATTTCACTCCTACAACCTCTCCAGGTGAGTGGCCAATATTATCCCCAACTTACAGATAAAGAAACTGAGGTAGGGTGAGAATAAGGATATTAACTAAGGTCTTCCACATAGGAAATGGAAAGGCCAAGATTTTTTTAAAAAAATCAGGTGATGCAAAATTTACATATAAAAGATGCTAACTGAACGTTAGTGAGTTTTAACACAGTTATGCACCTGTGTAGTTACCCCCATAATCAAAACATAGAAAGCTTTCACTGCCCTGAGACCCCTCGGGCCCCATCCCAATCTTCTCCTGCCCCTGGCCTCACACAGCCACCTCTGGTTGCTGTGACCACGGGTAAACTCGGACTTGTCACGTGACATACACACGGAGCTGTCCAGCAGGCACTCCTTCGTGTCTGGCTTCTTTCGGTCAACGTATTTTTGAGGTTCATCCAAATCGCACATAGGGGGAGTTAAGCTCCTTTTCCCCAGTGAACGCTATGCCCACGCACGAATGTGCCGCCTTTTCTCTGCTCACGTCTTGCGGGGAATCTGGATTCACTACAGGCTGTGGTGTGGTACTTGTGGGCGAGGCTTCTGCGAGTATTTGAGTCAAAGTCTTTGTGCAGACCTGTTTTTATTCCTGTTTGGCAAACGACGTGCCGTGGGACTGCCGGGTCCAGTGGTCGGTGAACACGTCCCCTTATAAGAAAGGGCCAGTTTTCCGAAGTGACTGCACCTGCTTCGTTCTCACCAACAACGGCTGGAAGCTCTGGTCCCTCCGCGTCCTCCTCAGAACGTGCTATTGTCGGCCTTTTCAATTGTAGCCGTTGAAACGGGAGTGCGGTGGGACCTCCCTGTGGATTTGACTTCCCTGAGGACGGCGACGCTGGGAACACTTGAATCTGGTGACTGCCTTCTTTTGGGAAGCTGCGTTTGTTACCGGCGGTGGCAAAATAGTGGTCACGATGGTGCCTGCTCTTTCTTGGGGCTGATCCCGTGTGCTAACCAAAGCCACAGCTTCGGGCGAATAGTAGGAAAACTTGGTATCGCGTGCTGTCTCTTCTGTTACTTTCAGTGAAACCCCGGGAGATGACCTCACGCCACACGAAGCTGGGCAGAGACTGAGGGAACCGCAGCTCTGGTAAGAAAATCTTCTTCTGCCTTCTGCACAGAGTTGACTTGAGGATTCTTGAAGTCAAAGGCCGTAGAAGTTGAGACAGCTAACCGCTTCTGAGCTCTCAATGAAAAAGGCGGCTTCAGTGGTGGCCTTAGCAGGAGAGGTGACTAGAGCCCTGCCTTAACCGAGCACCCTCACCGAAGGTGGGACGACAGGACTGGCAGAAAGCTCACCGGTGGACTAGTAAGGGTGTAACTTTCCCCCCAAGTCCATGTTCCAAACAGCACCACACACAGAACCGTACCTTTAGGGGGGATGGGGAAGTGTGCAGCACAGACAGCAGCTAAATATAAAAAGGTGTCAGGCTTAAAAATCACACCTGGACTTGTATGCAATTAACCAGAAGCAGATAGGGAAAAAGTATTTAAGGAAGAAAGCCCTGGGGCACCTGGGTGGCTCAGTCGGTTGAGCATCCGAGTTCGGCTCAGGTCATGATCTCATGGTTCATGAGTTCGAGCCCCGCGTCGGGCTCTGTGCTGATGGCTCAGAACCTGGAGCCTGCTTCAGATTCTGTGTCTCCCTCTCTCTCTGCCCCTCCCCCACTTGCACTCTGTCTCTGTCTCAAAAATAAACATTTAAAAAAAAAAAAAAAGAAAGTCCAAGCCTAATAGTCATCAGTGATGCTTCCTAAGGCCCACCCAGGTGTCCAAACTCATGCCCTTGCCTTAGTTGTTCAGTGCCCAGCAAGCACAACCTCACCAATGCCCGGCTCGGATGGGGCGGGTCATGCAGAATGATACACCCGGAGAGTCATCCTACGGGCACAAGCGGGGCCGCAGGGGACAAGAGACGGAGATTTCCCCCGAGATCTGAGGGGAAGGCTGCCAGACTGACTAAGCACAGAAATTAGTCTACCGAGAAGCAAATTCTTGTCCCTTCTGTCCACCAAGATTTGGTATTAGCTGCAGACCACTAAAGATAGCTACTTCTCCATTTTCTTTTTTTATAGGAGGGAAGTTTTAATTACAGCTACCCTGTCCCTTCACCATCTTACACCGGGCCAGGGGGGCTGCAGCCTGGTCTTTATTTACGGATCACCAGAACACTAAGAGGCCAGGTTGCACTTGATAAGGAGGGCCGGACGTGGCGTGGGGCCCACAGTCACCCCTACCTCTCAGGTGTCCATGAGGAGGGAGCCCCGCTCGCCTAGCCCCCTGGTGTCCCACCGCTTCGCACCCACGTCCCGGGGAAGCCGAGTGACTCCCGCCACGCGGAATGTGGGGGCAGGGAGCGCCAGGCTCAGCACAGGTACCTCCTCTCAGCCAGCCAGCCTGCCCCACAAAGGCCATGTGCTCCCCTCTGCTCACTGCTGGACAAGGCCAGGGGTTGGCCAAAGTTTCCAGGGCAGCCGGTGCCGAGAGGGCTGAGTCTCTCCCTCATTCTGACCTTCAGTTTGGGGAGGGCTAATTTTAAATAAATAGAAGCCATCTTCCCCAAGGTCCACCTTATCAGTCAACAACAAAGGAACTATTTTCATCTCCCTTTGCCTTACCTTGTCTTACTTCTCAGTTGGCTCAGTGCCCAGCCGGGTATATTTATTCCCAGAGTGGGAACATTTATTGTGTCCCCTAAACCTGGATACATGGGAAGAAGGGTGCGGACAGCCAAGGTGTCGAGTGCGCAGACGCCGTGAACTGGCAGACCTGACGCTCAAGCCGCCCCTCTCTGGCCTGCCTCCCTCCGCCGCCACGGAAGAGGAGCCTGAGACGTGCCCACTGGGCCAGGTCCCTCTGCAGCCGGAGGGGGAGGCGGCACGGGGACGTGCAGTCACATGCACCACGCTGCCGCTTCCCCGAATTTCTGCCTAAGTGAGGGCGTGGCGAGAGAGGAGCAGTCCCCACCACGGGAGCCAAGCGGAAAGAGCCAAGACGCCGAGCTCCTGGCCACGTGCGGCCATCGGACCGGCCTGGGCGACTGGCACCCAGACTTCTTTGCGCACGAGACAGAGAAACCCGTCGTTTAATAGCCTTTTGGGGGCTTTTGGATCCTTGTTGGGGGAATTCGGTCCCGAGTGAGCCAGAAGTGACTTCCTATGTGTCTCAGGGTTGCTGTGGTTGTAAAGATGACGGGAACCCCAACGTACACAGCACACAGTGCCTCTGGTCTAACGGACACTTGCGATCCTCTTCACTCTTCACGGATTTAACAACTACTAAACGCTCCCTCCTTCTGCAGACGCTCCCTCGCTTCCCCATGTCTCCGGTCACCCTGCAGGCTCCCCTTCCTCTAACAACCTCCTAAATATTGATGTTCTGGAGGCTCTTTTCCATCGTCACCACACACATAACCGGGGCATTCCCATTCACTCCGACGACCTCTAGGACCACTCGGATGCCGGTTGTTAAATGTGCGCTCCCGTACGGACTCCCTCCTGCTGGCCGGACATACACACGTGCACATCTCTACCTGAGGACGGCACCGTGGAGCAAGCACGGTGCTCCCTCTCCTGCGCCCCACGGCCCACCCCGCTGCCTAACCAACACGCTGCAAGTGTCATTAATTCCTCACTTTCTCCTATTCCCACATTCTGCCAATCACTAAACCTGTCGATTCTCTTTCTGAAATAGATCTCAACTTCCTCTGCTCCCCAGACTCCACACTGCTACTGCCCTCGTCCGAGCGCTCATCACCTCTCCCCCAGAGTCTAGAAACCACTCTCCTCCCGTCTCATCCTACCTGAATCCCAGAGTGGTCCCTGCAGAAATGAAAGTGGCATCATGTCGTTTTCCCATTTATAATCTTGCAACGATTCCCAGCAGGGAAAAAAGGGAAAACGTGGGGTGCAATTTTAGAGACGGTGGAGGAGGTTTCTTTGAGGAAATGACATCTGATCAAAGACCCAAACAAATGTAATACGTATCACATTTCTGAGGATAACACTCATCAAGTATGTTTCCGAAGTACGTCTTTTAAAATTATAACCTAATAATCATAAAGACTCTCACGCAAGAGGCATTTCCAAAAATACTTACTTCTAATAGATTTGTGCTCTTGTTTTCAATTACAGATCGCAGGAGGTCGTGACTCAGACGTATGATATTCTCAACATATGGTAAGCATTCTGACTGATAATCGAGACTTGTAACATTGAAAATACCAATGCGTTTCTCAATGACCATGTTGACAATGTGTTTCAGATACTTTCTGAATTTAGCTAGTATAGTTTTAAACTGTGTTGGAGTTAATTCTTCCATAGAGGACATTTTCATACTCATGACTTTGGCACTCTGTACGATGGTACAGTATTTTCTAAACTGGCAGCTGTAAGCACTAACCAGGCCCATTGAGTTACCAATAAAAGTCAGGAGACTGGCAATCTGTAAATAAAAATGTCAAAAAGTCAGAATTTTAAGAGTAAAAAACTTGTGCTCTAAGGGGCTAATAGTTCTATTAAAATATTTAAAACCATAGTTTTTTTGTGGAGTTCATTTTGTTGGGAACCTACACTAAAGAACTATGTTGGAAACATAAGACTTTAAGAAATTAAGATAGCCTTTTAAATATGTGGTGTTTCTGAAAAGGCCTACCAAGCCATTTATCTTTATCGTCAGCATGTTGTCTTGAGCCGTGGCCTAGAAACACCAATCACTCATTCCCTCGCTTGACCCCACTTCAGAATAGACACTGTGCACAGCCCTGAACCAGGGCACTTCTATATACTGTGTGAACTCTCCCAAGACACAGCTATTGGACGAGGAATCATCTGACCCAAGTGAAGACAATTAGATTCTCCTGTAAATCTGAACAAAAATACCCAGCCAGATGGCAACGGGAATGTAGGGGCCAATGCAGGTCAACGACTGGAAGTCAGTATTATGCAGGAACCATAAAACAGAAAGCTCATTTTCGGAGGGGAAGTTGGAAAAGAACAAAGGAGAAGAACTGAGCTGAAAGCACATGAGCGGGACAGATGGGGGAGAAGATGGAAATAGCATTTCAATTGTCCTAAGTTAGGATACTCAAATTTTTCAATAAATCCCTTTAATCTAAGAATCAGCCCAGTATTCCCTAAGACAAATCGTTCTTAAACTCACTTTGTTTTGGTAGGTAGGATCCACTTCAAAAAGAACCTGACAATCTGGCCATCTGGTTGTCTTCTTACAGGCAATGCCACTTTCAGTCTTATTAGGTAAATTCACAATTAAAACCGATTCAGTAAAGACAGACAGGCGGGGATCTTGGCAAAGAGGAATAATCTTGGCTAAAATACATAATTCGAAAGTTAGTATTTTCTGATGTCCCACTGAAAACAACACATTAAAATTATCCATGACATCTAAAACCACTGGACTGAGGCTAATTTATTATGAGGGCTATATAGTATTCTATACTGATAAATGGAATTTAAGACAGTGTAAAAGTTTGGATTTAATATTATGGAAACAACAGAACCACTCACAGATACTGGGTGGTGTTGGGGCGAGGCATAATTAAATAGAAGCTAAGAAAAGTCATTAAGAAATAGTTGGAATGCCCATGCTATGTGATGCCACGTGGAGAGCATTAGACCAGCACAGTGAGGGGATGAACGGGAGACAAAGCTTCACCGCCAGTGCGTTCACAGACAAGCTGAAAAACCGGGTGTCCATGGGCAAAAACCAACCAACCAACAAACACAAAACTTTAACCTACACTTCACACACTATGCAAAAATTAACTCAAGATAAGCCATATACCTAAATATAAAGCACAACTTTATTAATATTCCAAGAGGAAATACAGGAAAAATCTGTATTGGCTGTGAGTTAGACAAAGAGTTTGCAGGCAACAAAACATAACCTGTAATAGAAAAAAAGTGGTGAGCCGTACTTTATCAGAGTTCAGAAGGTTCCCTCTGTGACAAAGAATGAAAAGATGAGGCACAGACTGGGAGAAAATGTGTGCAAATCTTGTATCTCATGAAAGACTTGTATCGACGATACATATAAAGACTTCTCACGACTCAACAATAAGGAAACAAACATCCTAATGAAAATAAGCAAAAGATGTAAAGATCTGACCACAAAAAATGTATCCAAGCATATGCATATAAGCTCATGAAGAGATGAACAGGGAAACAAAATACAACCACAATGAGACCCACTACAACCTACCAGAATGGCTACTTTTTTTTTTTTTTAATCTGACAATACCAAGAGGTGACAAGGATACAGAGTGACTGTGAAAGGGCGAGCCTATGCCGGCCGACTCCATCTTGTTCTGTGTCCTCCACCTTGAGTGACTATGTCCCCGACATGGCCCTCTTTCCCGGAAAATTGGAAACCCCAGGATCCGCCTTCCCTTCGAGTAATCCTCCCCGCCAAGCTCCAAACTTCCTGATCAAAACACACCCAGCGACTCGCAGTACAGGACTGGACCTCTTCCTGCCAATTCAGCCGAAGGCTAACACTCTTCCCAGCCAATCGGCTGAGGCTACGCACACGCCCCTCACCAACCCCTCTAGACCCTATAAAACCTTGTGCTTTTGAAACCTCCCTCTCCCCTCGGTCATCTAGCACCAAGGCCGTGCAGGTAGGGGACTGAGCTCGAGCCAGCTCTACCAGCCTCTCTTCTGCTTTTGTGACTCCTCGCCCCAGTGGTCTTTGGGGATCACGAATTCTGGGCATAACTACTGGAGCTTTAAACATTGTTGGCAGGAATGCAAAATGATAGAACCACGTTACAATTCTCATACAATTAAACATACACCTACCATATGACCCAGCAAACCCACCCCTCGTTATCAACTCAAGAAAAAAGGAATCTTACGTTGTCCAAAAACCTGTATGTGAATGTTTACGGCAATTTTATTCATAATTGCCCCAAACTGGAAACGACCCAGATGTGACTGCAGAAAGAAACTTTGGTATATCCAGACAGTAGACTACGACTCAGCAATGAAGAGGAGTAAGGCTGCTGTCCCCCACAGCAAGATGGATGAATCTGAAATGCATCTTTCTAAGTGAAAAAAGCCAGACCAAAAGGCTACCTATGCATCCACTTGTATGACCTTCTGGAAAAGGCAGAACTATAAAGACAGGAAACAGATCCGCGGTTGCCAGGGATAAGAGGTGTGGAGGGTCCAACCACGAAGGGGCAGCACCAGGGAACCTGGGCGTGATGGAGTGGTTTTGTATGGAACCTGGATGGCGGATACGTAATTGTCAAAACCCACAAACTGCATGGCGCACAGAGTGACGTAGTAGGTCTTAAAACGCCAAGCAGGATGCTGGGAGAACCCAACACGAATACGGATGGTGACAAAGTAGCCTGCTGTGTTACTAGTGACTCAAGAGGAGGGGTAACAAAGGAGACTCTGGAGAGCAGTGTTTTGACTGAAAACTCTGAGGACAGAGGGGGGAAAAAAACGCCCACAAACACTCTGGTTGATACATTTGCGTCTCAAACAGGTGCAGAGTAGCCATGCTGACATTATTCTACCTGCATAACAAGTCAGTAACTACACTGTTACTTTCCATGTTACTTTCTAGGTCTTTTCACTGATGGGCCTCTGAGCGGCCCCACTCCCGCAATGAGCCCGTCCCGGGGCTGTCCCTGAGGAAACACAAGACGGGTGTGAGCCTCCTGTGCCCAAAGAAGCTACAGTGCTCTCCACAAAAGGGCACAGGGCCCATTCGGAAAGAGCAGTTCTCTGAAAATAAGGCCAACCTGAGCAACAAATTAAGTAACAGTAATACTCTCTTTACACTCCCCAGACTAACACAAATATCCCTGAACCTAGGAAATCCCTGGGGGCAAAATGTGACATAATTAAAACAGCACAGTACTGGCACACGAGTTATAGACACAGTCCAAAAATGAAATAAAATAAAATACTAAAATACAATAAATGATCACAGTGCCGTTTCAAGTCAGCGAGGGTGAGGAACGGATTATTCAACGAATGATACTGGGACAGACACATCATTAGTGCTTTGGGAAAAAGCACTAATTAGTGCTTTGGGAAAAAGTCTGTGTATGCAAATACATTTTAGAGCAATCGAAAGCTTAAACATAAAAATGAAATCATAATTAGAAGACAAGTAGGAGAATGTTGTTTATAATATGTGTTCATAATATGGGCAAGCGTCTCTATGATACCACGCCCTGAAGCCTTTTTCCAAAGGCTCTACAAATGTTATACTTTAAAAATAATGTTCTGCTTAGGAAAAAATATCACCATAAAATCAAGGCAAATGACCCATTTTTCTTAAAACTCCTATTAAAGATTAAGGGTTAATTTTCTTAACCCAGAAGAACTACCAAGCAGTACGAGAAAGACTTCTGCCCCATCAGTGCCGCTCCTGTGGACTTAGTCTGAGAAGAACCCCATGGAAGCCACAAGCCATGTGCCAGACGTTAACTTCATGACTGGGTATAGGAATGAGCACGTTTAATTCTGCATGCATGGTTAAACATATTATGGCACGTTAGTGTAAGGGAGTATTATCTAGCCATCTAAGTGACAATTATGAGAGCGACTGCAGCAATGAGGAAAATGCCTCCAATATAACGCTAAGTGATAATAAAATGTTTTGTTAAAGTTTTTTTTTTTAATACTGATTTTTGAGAAAGAGAGACAGAGTGCGAGCAGGGGAGGGGCAGAGAGAGAGAGAGAATCCCAAGCAGGCTCTGAGCCGTCAGCGCACGGCCCCGTGCGGGGCTCGAACTCACAAAACCACAAGATCATGACCTGAGCTGAGATCAAGAGTCAGATGCTTAACTGACTGAGCCACCCAAGCTCCCTGATAACAAACCATTTTAAATCTAAGTTTCACTCTTGTATGCTTATGAAGGTAAAAATGCAAAAACCATGTGAAAACACATAGTTGTCATATGCAGGCAGCTGAAATGATGGGGTGGTTTAAATTTTTTATTTTTTTTCTCAAGTAAGTTTACATGCACACAAATGCACATATGTATACAAACATATACAAATCTGAATGTAGATCAGTGAGTCCACATTTACATAAATAACTGAATAAAGAAATGGATCTGCTAAGGTGATAAGATCCCCCAATAAAGGCTAAAATTAGGGGGTAAAATTTTCAGAAGAAACAAAAAGATATTTGACAATCTCAAAATATCCCTCCCCAAATTGACTAATAACAAGAGGAAATATACACCTTCTAAGAGTTGCCACGGGTCCTGCTGTTATAAGATGTTTTAAGACTCAGACCGAGAGGAAGGGACACGTTCGGTGGCCAGGCTAGTAATAGCTGTGTAGTGTCAGACTGGATACACAGAACTAGAAAAGGACTGATCGAAATCGGTTTCAGATGGAAACAGTATCTGTTATGCTAATAAGATATAACTTAGTTAAGTCTTATAAAATTCTGTGGTATATAAAAAACCCAAACCTTACACTGTTTTCCTAATTCCCGTCTTTTATGCACTCTACAGTTACGTGTAGAAGTCACACATCCTCAAATAATCCCAAATTCACATTGACTGATCCCAAAGACTGCACATTCCCGATCCCAATGGACGGTGGTGTGTGCTCCACCACTGGGTGTGAACATCAGATGCCTGAGCCTGAGAGAATATTCCCAAAGGAGACAGTGTATCTAGCTACGCTTCAAAAACACTTACTTATATGTTTTTCAATGTCAGTCACCATATTTTGAATTTTTCTTGAAAAATCTAATCTGTTGGGAACTATGAAGAGATTTGTAGCAAATTCTGAAAACCTGAAAAAAAAAAATAAAAGCATATTTCAGAAAAATGCAGTAACCACCAGAGACTACTTGTAATATCAAAAAGGTCTGCTACTTACTCATCACACATGTATTTATTCTCGAACTCGGTCATGATTTCTATGTCTACAAGAGTCCATTGAAAAAAAGAGAGAATGAAACACTGATTGGTATTTAAACCAGCTAGGTGACCACTTGCTACGTGGCAGTGCTTTGCAGACATCCGAGAATACGCGGGAAGGTCACCTAAGAGGTAGCATTCTAGCACTCCACCGCACCCCGGACTGTGATAATGAGGGCCGAGCTGCGGTCTGAGGGCCTGGGTTTCTGACAAGCACGCAGGGGTGTTCACTGCCAGGAAGGGGGTCATCAGGCCCCAGGACTGAGAATGGTGTGCGTAGGAGACCAGAATGAGTAACGGTGTTATCGCTCACATGCACCACAGATGATGTGAGCTTGTGCTTAGAGCTTTCTTAACATTTATACTGCCGAGAAATGATATTATCTCTTAATATTTATTATCGCCGGTCAGCGATAATAGATAAACTACTAAAATTTTCTGTCATTTGCTCTTTTCCGGCTGTTAGCGTATCTCCTTTCATTCTTAATAGTCTCACTCATCTTACCTGAAGGTATTTCTTCAAGGTTGTAACAAACTTTTTTTGGTTTCTTCATTATTGGCATTTCTTCACTCGACTGTTTTATGACACAACTGACTTCATTTTTTGGTGCCTCCTCTTGTTCACACACCCCAGGTTCCTCAGAGCCATTGTCAGACTCATGAAAGTTCTCTGTGGAAGTTTCTGAAGAGTCACTCTCTTCAGGAGACCTCAAGCGTAGAGTCACTTCAAATACTGGTGCATATACTTTCCTCAAATTGCTCTCCACTTTGATATGATTCAAAATCTAATTGATAGATATTAGAGTGACAGTGACAATATATAACCAAAAGAATATTCCTTTCAATTCAGGATAATATAGACCTAAACTTTAAATGATAAACAATAACTTTGGTGTAATGAATACTTGCATGTTAAAATACGGTAATGTAAAATACACGATGCATTGTAATGCAGGAGTTCCCCCAAAAGACTGTGTAAATTAACACCAGAGTGGTGACATATTGATCATTTGGGAGCTTGTTAAAAATACAAATTCTTGGGGGCGCCTGGGTGGCCCAGTCGGTTAAGCGTCCGACTTCAGCCAGGTCACGATCTCGCGGTCCATGAGTTCGAGCCCCGCGTCGGGCTCTGGGCTGATGGCTCAGAGCCTGGAGCCTGCTTCGGATTCTGTGTCTCCCTCTCTCTCTGACCCTCCCCCGTTCATGCTCTGTCTCTCTCTGTCTCAAAAATAAATAAACATTAAAAAAAATTAAAAAAAAAATATGAATTCTTGGGGGCGCCTGGGTGGCTCAGTCAGTTAAGCGTCTGACTTCGGCTCAGGTCATGATCTCACAGTTTGTGAGTTCGAGCCCCGTGTTGGGCTCTGTGCTGATAGCTCCGAGCCTGGAGCCTGCTTCAGATTCTGTGTCTCCCTCTCTCTCTGACCCTCCCCAACTTGTGCTCTGTCTCTCTATGTCTCTCAAAAAATAAATAAATGGAAAAAAAAAATTAAAAATACAAATTCTTGGGCCCCATCCCCAGAGATTGAGTTAAAAGGTCTGCGGCAGGGCCCAAGAATCTTTCTGTAATTAAAGTATAATTAACATACAATGTTATATTAGTTTCAGGTGTACAATACATTGATTGAACAATTTTATACCAAGAATATGAATCATTTAAAAGCTGTGCAAGTGAGTCTACTGTGTACTCACGGTTGAGAATTAGAAATCTGGAATCTCCTTCAAAACCACTGCTGCAGGTCTGACTTCTTCACTGGAATATACACATCCAGGTACAGGTACCCGCCCCTACTGGCGTGTACACATCCTGGTACGGAGAATATGTACTGAGAATATGCACATCCCGGTACAGGTACACGTCCCTGCTGGAATACCCCCATTCTGGTACAGGCACCCGTCCCTCCTGAGAAACAGCCAGACGATTTCACGGATAAACACCTTTCTTAGACAATGTATCTGCTCGTAGGCTCTGTCTAGGCAGGTGTTCTCAACTAATGTGTCCATCTCTCTTACCCACACACAGCCCGCTGTTCTGGAGGCATCCAGGGTTTCTCAGAGTGGTTGTCTCACTCACCTGCCAGAACCTCAACTACTTCATAACGAATAAAGGCGGTTGACACCGTACACAAACATCGTCAGCACCCCGTGAAGCCGCTAAGGAAGAGCCTGAGCAGATGCTGAAGGGGACACGCAATCTTTAGAGGTTGTACACAAATAAACGCGGGAGTTTTGGGGGGTGACACACTGCTGCAGAGTGGGTAATGGTGACTGCACACAGCCCCGCGCGTGTGGTAACGCCACTGAATTTCACGTGTAAAATATGCTCGAAACGGGCAAGTGGATGTTATGTATGTTTTATCACAATCAAGAAGTTCACAGACAATTTCAAACAAACATAATGCGTTGTATAGCTTCTTCTGGAAAATAACCTCTAATCCTGGTAACGACCGGACCTTGAACCCTACACACTTTCTCATGTTACAGTATTACAAATAGTTGGCGTAGAATCATTCCTGAAATGCACGTAGTACAACTACTATTCGATACGGCATACTTGTATCTGTGTCCACTACTTGAGTACACCTGATACAGTATACTCCTAGCACACTGTATTATTGGACACAGTTACTCTTGGGTGAGTGCTTATCATGTCCTAGGCACTAGAGTAAACAAGTTGCCCTCACCTCACCTTCACAGCAACCTGGACAGAAATGATTACTCTTATTATATATAAAAAAGCTGGTATTAGTTTGTCAAAGGCTATATTGCCAGCATGTGGTAAGGCGGAAGTCATGGGTCTGCCCCTCCCTTGCCCGTTCTCTTTCTCTTGCAAAATAAATAAATAGAGAATAGAAAGCTTCTTGGCAAAATACAAAGGTATGAGAGTGAAGTCAAGCCACAAGACTTGAAGTCAAGTCAGGATGGGACAAAATATTTGCAAAAGACATAGCTGCTAAAGGTCTGTTCTCTAAAATATGCAAAGAACCCTTCCAACTCAACAGTTAGAAAACACATAACCCAATTAAAAATGAGTCAAAGACCTTAACTGACACATCAACAAAGAAAGTATACAGGTGGCAAACAAACATATGAAGACGTGGTCCACATTATTTGTCATCAGAGAAATGCAATTTAGAACAAGGACAATTTAGAACAAGACAAGGAGTGAGAGTCCCAAGCAGGACCCGTGCTGTCAGCACAGAGCCCGATGTGGGGCTCGAACTCACGAACCAGGAGATCATGATCTGAGGCTAAACCAAGAGGTAGATGCTTGACCGACTAAGCCACCCAGGCGACCCAAAAAGTCTTCTATTTCAATGAAGTCCAGCTTATCAGTTCTTTCATGGATCGTGCCTTTGGTGTTGTGTCTAAAAAGTCACTGCCACACTTAAGGTCATCTAGGTTTTTTCTTATGTTACCTTTAAGAGTTTCTTTAATTTTGCATTTGACAAATAGGTCTATGATCCATTTTGAGTTAATTCTGTGAAAGATGTGAAGTCTGAGTCTATATTCATTGTTTTTGGCACGTGGACGTCCAGTTGTTCCAGCACATTTATTGAGTACCATCTCTGCTCCACTGTATTGCTCTTGTTCCTTTGTCAAACATCAGTTGACTACACAGTAAGATCTTGGATTGTGAGTAACTTGTTCTGCAAATGTTCCACAAGACGAGCAAATGTTTCTAATAAATTTTAACTTGATAAACAAGCGATGTCTTGCAATACGAGTAGTATGTGACACCAAACATCACATGATCACCACTAAACCGATGGTTCTTGAAATTTGCTTTGATATACAAGTGCTCTGGACTACAAGCATGTTTCTGGAACGAATTATGCTCACACACCAAGGTTTTACTGTATTTATGGGAATCCACTTCTGGCCTCTCTATTCTGTTCCAGTGGTCTATTTGACTGTTCTTTCATTAATACCAAACTGTCTTGATTATCATACCCTTAAAGTAAATCATAACGTCAGACAGTGTCGGTCCTCCAAATTTGTTCTCCTTCAGTATGGTATTGGCTATTCTGGGTCTTTCGTCTCTCCATATAAACTTTGGAATTAGTTTGTCATGATCCACAAAATAGGCCCTGGGATTTTGATTGGCATCGCATTGAAACTATAGATCAAGTTGGGAAAAGCTGACATGTTGATAATACGGAGTCTTCCCATCCATGAACATGGACTATCACTTCATTCTTTTAGTTCTCTTTTGATCTCTTTCATTAGAGTTTTGTAGTTTTCCTCATATATACCCTGTATGTATTTTGTAAGATTTATACCCAAGTATTTCATTTGGGAAGGTGCTAACGTAAATAGTATTGTTTTCAACTTCAAATTTCACTTGTTCACTGCAGGCATATAGGAAAGTGACTGACCTTTTAAAATTAACCCTGTAGCCTGCAACCTCACTATAATCACTAATTAGTTCCAGATTTTTTGTTGATTCTTTTGGATTTTCTACATAGATGAGCATGTCATCTGCAAAGGAAGTTTTAGTTCTTCCTTCCCAAACCGTATACTTTTTGTTTCCTTTTCTTGTCTTGTTGCATAAGCTAGTATTTCCAGTACAATGTTGAAAAGCATTAGTCAGAGGGAACATTTCTGCTTTGTTCCTGATCTTAACAGAAAAGCTTCAAGCTTGTCACCATTAAATGTAAGGTGAGCTACAGGTTTTTTGGTAAAGATTCTCTATCAAGTTGAAGAAGTTACCTTCTCTTTCTAGTTTACTGAGAACTTTTATCATGAATGGGTGTTATATTTTCTCATATACTTTTCCTGCATCTATTATATGAGCATGTGATTTTTTTTTTTTTTTTTAGCCTACTGATGTGATGGATTGCATTAGCTTTCAAGAGTTGAACTAGCTTACATACCTAGGATAAATCCCACTTGGTGTACAATTCTATGTTGGATTGTGATTTGAAGATTTTTACATCTGTGTTCATGAGAGATATCTGTCTGTAGCTTTCTTGTACTGTCTGTCTGGTTTTGGTATTAAAGTAACATTGGTCTCATAGAATAAGTTAGAAAGTATTCTATCTTCTGCATTCCTCTGAAAAAGACTGTAGAAAATTGGTATAATTTCTGTCTTAAATGTTTGGTAGAATTTACCAGTGAACCCAGGTGGGACAGGTTTTTAATTACTCAAAAAAAATCTTCCTCATACTAGAAACACTAGTAACAAAACGAAAAACAACGCATTAAGATTTATATTTTCATGATATAACAAATGGTTATGGTCTGTACTTTATAAATAGTTTTGTAATTCAGTAAGAAAAAGGAAGAGAAAACGCCATCAGAAAAATGGGAAAGAACATCAAAAGGTCATAAAAATGAGAAATACAAATAGCTAATAAGTATAAGAAAAACACTCACTACAAGTAATAAGTAAAAAGATCAGTTAATCTGAGATTTCAGTTATCAATAAGCAACGGTCAGTATAAAATAGGATACATGTAAAAGGCACTCTTTGATAGAAATTAGTATAACTTTGTCTAAAGAGATACTCTGCAAATGGAAGACCGTAGAAGGGCCTATTGTGCTGATTGAGTATTAATCCTAAGGAAAAAATTGTAACAGTGCAGGGGCACCTGGGTGGCTCAGTCGGTTAAGCCTCCGACTTCAACTCAGGTCATGATCCTGTACCTCATGGGTTCGAGCCCCACATTGGGCTCTGTGCTGACAGCTCAGAGCCTGGAGCTTGCTTCAGATTCTGTGTTTCCCTCTCTCTCTGCCCCTCCCCACTCACACTCTGTCTCTCTCTCTCGAAAATAAATTTAAAAACATTAAAAAATTAAAAAAAACCAGTGCATGTGTTTTTATCTAAAAATATTTCTATTCTAAAGTGTTCATAAAGAACTAGTAGAAGCATCTAAAATAACAACTCCCGGGGCGCCTGGATGGCTCCGTCGGTTGAGCATCTGACTTCGGCTCAGGTCATGATCTCACGGTTTGTGAGTTCGAGCCCCGCGTCGGGCTCTGGGTTGACAGCTCAGAGCCTGGAACCTGCTTCAGCTTCTGTGTCTACCTCTCTCTGCCTGTCTCCTGCTCATGCTCTGTTTCTCTCTCAAAAATAAATAAACATTAAAAATTTAAAAAAATAAATAAATAAAATAACAACTCCCAGTACAGGCTGGGGCTACAAGGCTCACAGGTTAAATCTAACAAAAAAATATCTAAGATTTTTATGGAGAAATTATAAAAGACATTGAAAAAATTCAAGAAGACTTAAATAGCACAATCATGTCGGGAAGATTCAATATCATAAAATATTAACTCTCCCCATCTTCTAGGCAATTTCAACCAAAATCCAAATAGGGTTTGAATCTAAACTGTATACAGAAGAGCAAATGGCTGAGAATAAAAGAAGCCTTATCTCGGGGGCGCCTGGGTGGCGCAGTCGGTTAAGCGTCCGACTTCAGCCAGGTCACGATCTCACGGTCCGTGAGTTCGAGCCCCGCGTCGGGCTCTGGGCTGATGATGGCTCAGAGCCTGGAGCCTGTTTCCGATTCTGTGTCTCCCTCTCTCTCTGCCCCTCCCCCGTTCATGCTCTGTCTCTGTCTGTCCCAAAAATAAATAAACGTT